AACTCTTAAGGTATTTTGCTTTCTTAGACTTTACCAGGACAGTTTCTTGTAAAACAAAACTACTGAAAACTAAGATGTCGATAATTTACCTAATTGACACACCTCTTTTTGTATATAACACATAAACCAAAGTCGAGCAACTCTCTTCCACACAAGCAAACCAAAACCATCGGTAAAAGGGGACACCAAACAGCCCCCATGCCGGACACTCCAGGTCCCACTGTTCAAGGTTGTGTGGAGCAGCAGCACTGCCCACCACCCAGTCCTGTGAGGACTAACTACTGGCTTTCTAAGGATGCGTCACCTCTTCCTGACTGGACCAAGCACCTTATCTTTACTAAGTATATATCAAAATCATAATGTACAATAAATTATGAGAATATTCTTGTTAGCTCCTTTACAGGAAAAATCATCTAATGACAAGAATTATGTATCAGGTGATAATACTTTCCTTCTCATCCTGTTTGTTTTTAACCTTTCATTAAATATAAAGCTCTTTAAGGACTGAAGTTACTTAGCCCTGCAACAACAGCAGTGACCAGACAATAAATCTGAGGTATTAATTATGATGTTTAAGCATCCAAGAATTTTATCACAATACAACAGTTTAATGTTCACTCTCATATTACTTTGAAATGTGTGGGCATAAAGACAAACACACTTTTAACTGAAAGATAATACAAATGTGTTAAAGAACAAACTGTCATAACAATGTTCAGTGTATTGCCAAAGTGTTTGAGAATTACAGTAGTAAAGATATCCTTGCTGCCAGTAAAAACAGACACCAATATGTCTTGAAACAGATAGGCAAGTATATATTGCTTTCCTGCATGCTTTCCATTTGAGGCAAAAAGACTAACTTGGCCCTTGAGTATTATGGAATTTCTAGCAGCTGTCACCCTATTCTGAAATTCTAAAATGAAATTAAATATGCATTTGATAGTGTTAATATAAAATATGCTTTTCACTATTCCCTCTAGGGTAACAAGGATTAAAGCAACAGAGACAGTTGTCATCAGGCTGTTTTCTACTTATCTACTGACTCATTTAGTGCAAAACAAATTCTATTAATAGTCTTTATTCCATATGGAAAAGTACAGTAGTTGTGCAGAAACAAAACTAACAAGAGTAAGACTTCCACAAATATTAAAATAAATAAGCCATAGTAGTTACAGCAAAACTCATGGAAAGCCTATAAAAACGATAAAGCTGTTCACACAAAGTACAACTGTACACACAGGCAGGAACAAACGTTGAAGAATGACATCAGAGGTCCCTATTCGTACAAAACCACGATGATGTTCACAGGAACTTCATTACAATGATTCATTTTTAAAACGTTCTGCAAATATATAACTTCCTTTTCCTCAATTTTAGAAAATAAATTTCACACCCCAACATATAAAACAAATACACTCCTACCTCTCTCAAATTAGCATTTTAACATCCTCCAATAACACACCATTTTCATATAAAAATACCTTTAAGCCAAGGTTCATTCCTGTACCTTATCTTTACAAATGAATAATACATCAGCTTAGACTTAAGTAGCACCTCAAAGGTGTTCATATAAATGAGATAAAGTGCTGTTACTGGTATATTGTTAACATGCCATAATAATATATCATTCAGTGCAATAACCAGCATGGATGAAGCTTACAGAGAACATGCAAATCATGACTGGGGTTTTCTCTGTAGGTGAACTACACTGAAATAGTTATATTTACAAGTCTGAATAAAATTGGGCTATTTAATATATACAACATGTGACTATAAAGTACTATTGTACAACAAAACAAAAGCAACAACCAGCCCTACGTTTAGTATCTGAATTAAATACTGTCTTTAGAGGAGCTTGGAAGATTGTTCCAGGAGCACTACCATTGTTAAAAGCAGTTTGGAAAACACGTGAGAGCTAATTTGTAAGCGCCACTAAGATTGCTGGTCTTAGTATTTTTGCTTGAATCCACTTGACCACCAGTCATGATTCCAAATGGCTTATACTGTTTCCAAATCTCAAAACACCTTCAAGCACAAATACAGGTTCCAAAAAAAGGTGCTATAAAAATATACGAATAAGAACCGTAACACAGAAATAAGTGTTTAATCCCTTTACAGGAACTGCTATGAAGGGAACAATACTTAGGGTGTTCTCATATTTTGCTTTAAAAAAATTTGGCTATATTATGTTTACAGTCACGCATTTAGCTAGGAATCACTCAGAACTTAATTTTTATGTATATATAAAATGGGATTTGACTCAATGGAACTGTAACTGTAGTTACATCGTTTCCAGATACATCACTTGGATATTATCTCATGAGTTCAACCAGTCACTATTTAACAATAGACTTACTAACAGTACTTATTCTCTAAGTACTATAATTTTGCCACATAGCAAAGGCAAGGAGGAAAGTGGCAAAGCCAAACAATTTTTTAAGTGAAAATCATCAATGTCTTCTGGGCTGTCTTAGAATTTTAACTTGATATAGTTTTCAGTTCTGCTTAGCATTCTTATTTATTGTAACTTCTAGCTATTAAAGAAGTGTTATCCCACAGTTTAGATATATCAGTGGCATCAGATCCACCCCCAAGGAAAAAAAAAATGGCTAAAAAACTTTTCTGATGAAAAAACTATTTAATTTACCACCAGGAGTCAACAACACACTTTTCCAAATTCCACAAATGGGGCTTTCTTAAGGCTCACACATTTGACTCTATGAACGATCGCTTTGGTTTTGCTGCAGTGAGGTGGCTCCTGTGGGCTTCATTACTGATATGAGGCTGCTGTTTGGAGATACTTTCCTGGTACAGATGAGAAACAGTCTTAGTTATCCTGTTCTCTTGACAGTGGACTGGAATTTGGCACTTGTTTTCTTCTAGCTCCTTCACCTGTGCCCCATTGTGGACACTTGTTTTGGCTTGATTATTATATCCTCCCACTTGCATGAGAGATGTCTTTTCAGTGTTAGCAGACTGCAGGCCAGCTGCAGAAGACGTGTTTGTCAGCAGCCCCTCTGCCGCCGGACAGTGCCATGCGCGGCCTGGAGGATTGCTCTGCTGTTGGAACCTTGCAGTCTTATCCATGATGCCCATGAACGGCGTGTTGCGGGGTCTGTGCTCCGCTGTACTGCTCTGAACGTGGGTTACAACCTTGTCTTTAATTCGAGTATCTGGTCCTTGGACCTTGAAGCCATCTGAAAAACTGCTGCTCGAAGTCAAACTACTGGTTGAACTTGACATCTTTATGCTGCTGGATGGAGAACCAGAAGAGCCTGAGCTGGTAAGGGAAGCCGGGTGTCGCATGTCACTGCAGGTGGCCAGCCCACCTTGGTTTGGAGCAGCTGCATCCACAGCCGCGGAGGCATGAGACAGAAGCCTCTCTGTGGTTTTTGTCTTACCTGGTAAAGGGTGTGCAGGGACACTCTCACCACGCTGCAGGCGGACATCCTGGCTGGGGCCTGGCCGATCCCCAAAGTGGCCACAACCAGCTCCTGTAGTGAAAGTACCTGCTCCCTCCAAATGCGGGATTCTGCTCCCAGCAGGAGCGGCAGCACTTCTCCCTGGCATGGGACTCGGAGGAGGGTTCTGAGAAGAAATGTGAACTTTGATGCTGCCATTTCTCACAGCAGGCTGGCCAGAGCCCAGGTGCTGGCTGGTTTTCACGATCTGGGCCTGTTTGGAGGGTTGCAGGACCAGCCCAGGCTGGGCCACAGGTTCTCTTAGGAGCTTACCAATTCCTGCCCTGCTCTGTGGCGATACAGACCTTCCTTTGGACTGTAACCCTTCTTGAAGGTTTCGGATGTATGAAGAAGGGACCGATGAGGATGGCTGGGACCTGGGAGTCTGGGAAATGGATTCTTCCTGGGGAGAAGTTTCTTCCTCTTCAATCTCCTCAGGGTGAAAGTGGTCACTTAACCCAGGGGTCGGGGCGTCCTCTTCATTCTCGGAGTCATTGGGTGGAGCTGGTGGCGGGCCCTGCTGTTTCTGCTGTTGACTCCTCTGGAGTTGCTTGCACTCCTCTTCTACGCGGGCCAGAAGCCTCTTGATTTCCTGATTGTTGGGACAGAGTTTCACAGCCTCCTGCAGGTCAGCCAGAGCTGCCACAAATTGCCTTTGTAGGAAAATGTAAGGTAACATTACAAGCCACACATGAACATGCTCAGAGTGGAACTGTTCATAAAACAGCTGTGCTCAAAGGAAAGAGAAGGTAGCAAGTGAGTTTTGAATGCTTACAGTGCTGGCCAGGACCCATTTAACAGCCCAGAGTTACTCAGCTAAGTGGCAGTGCTGAATTCTAACCTAGATGGGCGTGACTCCACAGCACTGCTCTCCATAAAGACTATTGGGCTGGGAATAAGGGGAAGCATGAATCAGTGGGTGCCAGAATCCTTTTAATATTATTACCATCTCGTGGTAACACTGCCCTCCTCTAACACAACAAGCTCATACAACCCCTCCCCTTCATGTCCTCCTAGTGCCCCTAGCTGGCAGTTTCCCTGAAATATGGACTAAATTAGGTAGGAAGTTCATGTTGTAGTAAGTTTCACCCGGGACAAGCGATGGGGAGGAGTAACTATTGAGATGTCAGGAGAAAACGGCTGTTTACCCATCACTGATAATGTCCCACTACCATGCCTCTTCGAAGCAGGTAGTAATAGTAATTCAGTACTTAAAAGGATGAGAGGCACCTGAGCAACACTTCTGCAGCAAAGCCTCCCCAAATGCAACAGGCAGGTTTGATCCCACAGGAAAAAAACTTTCTCTAGACACAAAAACAACCACGGACAGTACCTGCTGTTTCTCTTTGCTCTTGCTCTGGCATAAAAGGCTTCATAGGACTTGGGCTTCAATTCGAGAGCCTTGGAAGCAAATTCCTCTGCCATGCCAAAGTCCTGGTGTCAACAAGAAATACAGGAGTCAGAAGCAACATAGATACATGATGATGGGAAGCCTTTCCTAGTTTTGTTCTAAAGGGTAGCAGAACGCTGAGGCACAGCCAGAAAGGGAGGAGGTAATGACAGTTGATTAATATCATTAAGAAAAGAATCCGCCACAGAAAACAGTGATAGTGACAGTGCCCCAGAAGGCCAGAGGGTGGACCCTCACACCCCAGTGGAGGGGCAGTCTCAGAAAGGAACCTAGATGCTAGGTCCATTCTGGCAGCGGAGCACAGAAGCGGGCAGCTCAACAGATTGGGGCGGGAGGATGCAGTTCAAAAAAGGTAGGAAGTACTACTGAAACAGATCTACTAGTTACAAATTGACTATGAGTTAACCACGACTGGTTACAAATGAGTTATTGGGAGACCCTCTGAGCAAACCTAACACAGAAGGCAGGCCCACAACATGACACTAGGCTTGGGTTAGCCTTTCCTGAATCCGGGGATGGCAGTGCCGGCAGCATCACTGTTGGGAAGCTGCAGAGGAGCTGTCCGCATTTGCTTCTCATCACTGAGGCCAAGGAAATGAAACCCAAGTGGATTCCTTCAACACTGTCAGGGGAGTGGGTCACTGATAGGAGCCGTTTCCCACATGCCAGGTTCGCATCAATGTGCAAGCAAATCGGACAGGAGGGCTCAGGACTGGGTCCGAGAAGGGCTGGGCTTCACCGCTGGGGAAGGGCTCTGCTGCTGGAGGACTGGGTTGGAATAAAGGGGCACAGCTTACGTTTGTTTTTCTTCGGCATCGAGACAAACTGAGATAGAGGGAAACCCTTAATTCGTTGAAGGGTCTCATGTCCTCTCCGACTCCTTCTCGAGGAAACTTCCTTAAGGCATACTGGTACCTCTGGGCTGCTTCTTTCATCTTCCCTTTCTAGGATTCAAAAATCACAAACATTTGTCCTTTTTCAGAGGCTCTAAGATGAATAATCTCCCACACCCGGAACACCCTGGGGAGTTTCTTCCCCCCCTGCAAACCCATGATCATTGAAAGCATCCGAGTCAGCGTCAAGATGGGAGCTAGTTCACTAACTGGGCTGACGCACACGGGCTTCACTGTCCTCACATGCACCTGCAGCCTGTGATTCCACAGTGAGAAAGAAGCCGGTTTTACAATAAGGTGTCTGTAAACTGCTAAATTGGTAACTATCAATCTTAATGGATCAGATATCTTCTGGTATGTATTTTTGAAAATTATTTCAAGAATGATCTCACATCTAAAGACATTTTAATGCTAAGTGTAACAGAAATCAGATGAAAAACTGATCCCATTCCTAGGACAAGTGGTATCTTGTAGACAGACCTAGAGAGCTTGTTGCAGAATAATAATTTTTCTTTCAAGAGGAACTAAAACATGGGCTTTAAAAAGCAGAACAGCACCACACATCATTTTCAAAGCTAAAAAATCCATTTGCTCAGTCAGTCCCATTGCACAGTGGGTATGAAGCCTGTTGAAAATGGCTTTGTACTTCTGACATAATTGCCTACCAAAATCCATATTAAAAGCACTTCAAGGCCACAACAGTACACACTCTCAACTCAATTTCAAACTGATTCCAAGCCAGGAACCCTGCTGGGTCATGCTGTATTACCTATTTATTTGTTACTATTTTAAAAAATGAAAAGGAAAAAATCTACAACATAGCAAGTACAGCTGCCTAACAGTAAAAAGGATTAACATGGTTATAATCTAGTTTTTCCCCAATAATCTTTTAATTCTGTCTAATCACAGAACTGCAAAGAATAGTGACCTATGCAAATGGCCTGCATATCTATCTAAACCAGGGGCTGGCAAACCATGGCTTGGAGGCCAAGTCTGCTGGCCACCTGTGTTTACAAATAAAGTTTTATTGGGACACAGCTGTGTTCATTCGCTCTGTGTTCTCTGTGGCTGCTTTTTACCCCTACAGCAGAACTGGAGAGTTGTGACAGAGGCCACACAGTCTGTAGAGCCTGAAACATTACTGTCTGGCCTTTAAAAATAAGTTTACTGACCTCTGAGCTAAATTGATGTCTTATTTGGAAAAATTTAAAGTGCAGTTTATTGATCTGTAAATCATATTTCCATTTTTGAGGGAAAATAAATTAATTCAGTCTCCTGAATAACCGAGGTATTACTTGACTGTATTAAGCGTATTAAGTGCATCTCTAAAAACAGTTTCAAATTCCAGACATTCATAGATATTAAAAATTAGGAAAGGCTCAGGAGATGGAGCGAGCCTTTTCTTCTGGACATGACTGCTGGGTGTTCCCCTCCTATGCCTCATCACTGTGCCTCAGTGTGGCGGTCTTAACTCAGAACATGAAGGGCTGAGGAACATCCTCTATGGCGTTCAGTTGACCTAAAGGTGACTTGGCTTCATGCCGTGGCTTCAGGCAGTAGGCCACCACTACAACCTCAAGGATTAGCTCAGAAATAATGGCTCTCAGACACAAACAGAGGTGTTTTCTACCTTTAAGATTCTGCCAGAAAGATATTAAGCCAACCAAGGGCGTGAGGCCAGGTCAGCACCTCTTGGCATCTTTTTTTTTTTGAGACTGAGTCTTGCTCTGTTGCTGAGGCTAGAGTGCAGTAGAGTGCAGTGGTGCCATCTCAGCTCACTGCAACCTCCACCTCCTAGGTTCAAGCAATTCTCCTGTCTCAGCCTCCCGAGTAGCTGGGATTACAGGCGCCCTGGTAATTGTTGTATTTTTGGTAGAGACGGTGTTTTGCCATATTGGCAAGGTTGGTCTGGAATTCCTGGCCTCAGGTGATCCACCCACCTGGACTTCCCAAAGTGCTGTGATTACAGGCGTGAGCCACTGGACCCAGCCACCTCTTGGTACTTCTCGTACATGGATTCTGTGCAGTAGCACAGCTATGGCCATTATATACCCCATTAAGAGGGAGCTCTGAGGCAAAGAAAAGGGCGGCCCCACTTACTTTGTACATCACATTTCCTTCCTCCATTAATTTCTGTAAAAGTATAATCAAGATATCAGGTTTGGAAGTGGCCATCGCCCAAGCAGCATTTCCTGCAAAACAAACACGCATTCAGAGGCACTTCAGAGGCCCCAGGGAAAGGATACCAATTCCTCCGTGGCCCCACAGCTGGAGGTGAGCACCAGCACAAGCCCGCTGCAAGGACCACAATGCCGTGAGGGAGGGGCAGGATGCCAGTGAGGCTCAGCCGCTAATCCTCTCCCACTGACCTGGGCGCTCAAATCTGTCCTTGCTATTTTACTGAAAAAAGTAATGAGAGAAACAGGCATCTGAGCAGTGAAGACCCATCCCTCCCTTCCAAGTGGAACATGGGAAAAATTGATCAAAAGAGGCCCCAGCATAATCTCCTCAGTTCACGCAGTGGTCACCGTGCAGGCATGTGGGCTTAGCACCAGGTCCCTGCGCTGTGCGTCACCACACTCTACTCCAAGATGTCTTGGCTTCTCTCTCCTACCCTACAGCTCGGCCACAACCTCTCTAACCCCTGCCTGAGCTCTCGGGACACCATGGGAAGAGTGCTAAAGAGCACAGCCCCCAAGTCAGCCTTCTAGGTTCCCACAGCGAGTACCAGGTGGCAGTCCTGGGGAAAGCCATTTAGCTGCTCTGTGCCTTGGTTTCCTCATCTGTAAAATCATGGGACTGTCACGGAGAATTTCAGGGCTGTGGTGGAGACGAAGGCAGAGGGTGAAACTGCTTGGATAGTTCCTGGCACTATTCACTGCTTGACAGTATTAGTGAATAGCATTTTCACCACAGTGCTCCGCCCAGAGCTGCTCCTGACCAAGGGCCGCATACATCTAACCAAAAACAGTGACCCTCCCACATTTGGAACAGTGTGTTGTGTCAAAGCCAGTCATGTGGAAAGGGCTTTCCCTACTCAGGGGCCCTGACATGATCCTCAAGTATTACTTTTTCACGGAAACTTGCTGCGGCGGCCATTTCCCCACGTAGCTGACTGGCAGCTCTAGAACAGTGGCTGAGCGTGGGGTGCTGCTCAGTTACCTGGGGACCTTTCAGCAGCACCGCCCGGCCCCACCCCACAGTGAGGGGCTGAGCCAACTGCTCTCAGACGTGGCTCCTGGCCATTGACACTCACCACTCCAGACTGTCCTTCAACACCAGCCTCTGCTTTCCACCCCCACAGAAACACTGTGAGCTACTTACACACTGTGGATGATGGTGATTAAGTGAGACTGAGGTGAGACTGAGAGAGATCTGCAAACATCTGACATCTTACTTCCTAACCTGGGCGCAGGGTCACTCTATGCTCTCTAAGCTCCTACAGTCAGGAGCTAACCCCTCCTCCTGCTCAATGGAGGCAGTGCTCACTGACCTAATTTGGCTCCCTTTCTGAGTAGTGCCACCACCACGGATGTGTTCCGGCAGCCAATGGCTCTGTCCAAGGGCCGCATCCCACTGTGGTCCACATGCTCGATCACGGCTCCCTTCTCCACCAGGTACAGCACCTGCAGGGACAGCAGAGGCCTTAGCAGCAACTGGGGGCAGGAGTTCAGGGGCACACGTGGATTTAGGATGGGCAGTCTTAACTTTACTCTCATTTGAAATGCCTCTGCCTAGTAAGGATCGTAGAACAGAAATGAAGTGGACACGAAACAGAGAAGAGGAGCTGCGATCCACAGCTAGACCCTTCCCTGCTGAAGAGATTTTGCTGTCAGTGATGAAAAAAGCAGGGCACACGCTGCCACAGGTGCATGTGTGCACACATGCTCGATCTGTCTCTCACACCACTTCCCAGGCCACAGAGACTGGACACAGTCACCTCTGCATCTCCAATGGAATTAAGCAGCAGACTTCTAGAATGAGCTCCAACAAGTGAGCAGGCCACAGCAGTGGTGACTTTAGAAATACTCAGACCCACACAACCTGGGCATGGCAGACTGTGAAGATGGGCGGCTTGGGACCAGACAGATCCAAGTATATAATTATCAAAGAGATTTGAAGGAAATTGGGAAAGTAAAAATGGCAAGTTTGATACCACGGTACAAAGACTAATTTGATGTGATAAAATAGCTGTCACTTAAACTAAACAGGAAACAAGAGGAAGAACCACTGTGGCCACTCTAATTTCTCCATTTACTGGAAAAGAAGCCTGTAGCCATTTTAGATTTTCATGTGGATCTGAAAAGATATGCTTCCAGCTGGGTATAGTGGCTCACACCTGTAATCTCAGCACTTTGGGAGACCAAGGCGGGTGGATCACGAGGTCAGGAGTTCAGGATCAGCCTGGCCAAGGTGGTGAAACCCCATCTCTACTAAAAATACAACAACAACAACAACAAAAAATTAGCCGGGCGTGGTGGTAGGCGCCTGTAATCCCAGCTACTTGGGAGGCTGAGGCAGAAAGCTGCCTGAACTTGTGAGGTAGAGGCTGCAGTGAGCAGAGATTGTGCCATTGCACTCCAGCCTGGGCGGCAGAGATAAACTTTACCTCTCTCTCTCTCACACACACACACACACACACACACACACACACACACACACACACACACAAAAAAAAAAAAAAAAAAAAAAAAAAAAAAAGATATGCTTCCTATCATCCACCCCACTATTCAATGACACTAACTAGAGGGGTTACTATCTATATAAAGAACTACAACTCAACTACAAAAACCAAATAACCTCATTTTAGAATGGGCAAAGGACTTGAATAGATTTCTACAAAGATGATAGGTGAGTGGCCAACAAGCATATGAGAAGATGTTCAACTCACACCCATTACGATGGCTACTACTAAAAAAGCAAGTATTGGCTGGGTGCAGTGGCTCACGCCTGTAATCCAAGCACTTTGGGAGCCCAAGGTGGGCTCAAGAGTTTGCGACCAGCCTGTCCAACATGGCGAAATCTTGTCTCTACTAAAAACGAAAATAAGCCAGAGGTGGTGGCACATGTCTTCCTCTAGTCACTCAGGAGGCTGAAGCAGGAGAATTGCTTGAATCCAGGAGGCAGAGGTTGCAGTGAGTTGAAATCCAGCCACTGCACTCCAGCCTGGGTGACAGAGCAAGGCTCCATTTCAAACAAACAAACAAACAAGTATTGGTGACAATGTGGAGAAATTCTGGAACCCTTGTGCACTGTGGTGTGAATGTAAAATGGTGCAGCAGCTGTGGAAAAACAATAGGGCAGTTCATCAAAAAATTAAAAACACAATCACTGTGTGAGCCACAGATTCTGCTTCTGGATATATACCCCAAAGAACTGAAAGCAGAGTCCTGAAGAAATACTTGGACACCCACATTCACAGCAGCATTATTTACAGTAGCAAAAAGCATAGAAGCAACCTAAGTGTCCACTGACAGATGACTAGATAAACAACACGTGGTATATATGTACAATGGAGCATTATTCATCCTTAAAAAGGAAGGAAACGCTATTCTAACACAAGCTTCAACATGGGTGAACCTGGAGGACATTATGGTAAGTGAAATAAGCTGGTCACAAAAAGACAAAAACTCTATGATTCCACTTACATGAGATATCTAAAGGGGTAAAAAGCTCAGAGACAGAAAGTAGAGTGGTGGTTGTGATGGGCTGGGGGAGGTGGAGAGTTGTAACAAATACAGTTTCACCTTTGCAAGATGAAAAGGTCTGCATACTGGTTGTGAATATGCTTCAACTACTGAACTCTATGCTTTGAAATGATTAAGGATAAATTTTATGCTATGTATTTTTGCCACGATATTAAAAAAATAATGTTAGAATGCTAAGTTCCTTCACTCTTCTCTACTTATGATAAACTGCAGAGTTTGGGAAGGTAGCTGAAAAATAAGTGTAGACATGTGAGATTTAGTTGAATATGTTTTTGTAAATTGACATGAAGTAGAGTTTACAAGGTACAGGAAGTTGATACCATTTAACCCTGACAGCACTGCCTTCTAAAAGCCCCAAGCACACACATGCAGGGCCACAGCTTCCACTGCCAGGTCTGCAAGCACCTGTCTCTCCAGCTAGTCCTCCCGTTACATGTATTGAACTATTGGAAGCTGACTATTCCTCTGGCACCTGCTGGATGCCTGGGGCGTGAAGCCTGACAAAGTCACAGTTTCTGTCCTGAGGGACATTTCACAGTTCTGTTTATCAAGGTTTTATTCTCTCAGACCTTGATTAGACACCAGCATTTGGCAAAGAGATAAAGATAGTGCCCAAAGCTTTCCATATTTTTAGGCAACGCTGTATCACTTTAAAAACAACCAGTATATGTACATCATGAAATACTATTCAGGCTTTAAAAGAAGGAAATCCTGTCATTTGCTGCGATGTGGATCAACCTGAAGGACATTATGCTAAGTGAAATAAGCCAGGCTCAGAAAGACAGCATGATCTCATTTACATGTGGAACCTAAACAAGTTGAACTCACAGAAGCAGAGAGTAGAAAGGTGATTACCAGAGGCCGGGAGACAGACATGGGGAACAGGGAGGCATTGGTCAAAGGGTATGAAGACTCAGACAGGAGGAATAAGTTCCGGTGATCTACTGTACAGCACTGTGACTAGAGTTAACAATACCTTTTTTTTTTTTTTTTTTGAGACCGGGTCTCATTCTGTTGCCCAGGCTGGAGTCTGGTAGTACGATCTTGGCTCACTGCAACCTCAACCTCCTAAGTTCAAGCAATTCATGTGCCTCAGCCTCCCGAGTAGTTGGGATTATAGGCGCCCGTCACCATGCCCGGCTAATTTTTGTATTTTTAGTAGAGACAGAGTTTCACCATGCTGGTCAGGCTGGTCCTGAACTCCTGACCTCAAGTGACCCGCCTGCTTTGGCATCCCAAAGTGCTGGGATTACAGGTGTGGGCCACCATGCCTGGCCAATAACGTATTGCTTATTTCAAAATAGCTAAAAGGGATCTTAAATGCTGTCACCGAAAAGAAATAATATTTGAGGGATGCATACGTTAATCAGCCTGATTTGATCATTCCACAATGTATACTTGTATCAAAACATCACATTGTGCCCCATAAATATACACAATCATTTGCCAATTAAAAATAAAACTTTGGCTGGGCATGGTGGCTCATGCCTGTAATCCTAACACTTCTAGAAGGCAAGGTGGGAAGATCACTTGAGCCCAGCAGTTCGAGACCAGCCTGGGCAACATGGCGAAACCCTGTCTCTATAAAAAATTAGCCAGGTGTGGTGGTACATACCTATAATCCCAGCTATTCAGGAGGTTGAGGAGGGAGGATCTCTTGAGATGAGGAAAACAAAACCATAGTGATCACGCCACTGCACTCCAGCCTGGGTGACAGAGTAAGACTCTGCCTCAAAAATTAATAATAGGCCAGGTGCAATGGCTCATGCCTGTAATCCCAGTACTTTGGGAGGCCAAGGCAGGAGGATCACGAGGTCAGGAGTTCGAGACCAGCCTGACCAACATAGTGAAACCCCGTCTCTAATAAAAATACAAAAATTACCTGGGCGTGGTGATGCAAATGCCTATAATCCCAGCTACTTGGGAAGCTGAGGCAGGAGAATTGCTTGAACCTCGGAGGCAGAGGTTGCAGTGAGCTGAGATCGCACCACAGCACTCCAGTCTGGGCAAGACAGCAAGACTTAATCTCAGAAAAATAATAATAGATTAAAAACAAAACAATATAGAAAAAAAACAGGTAGTCATTTGATTAGTCACTTACCATATAAAAAAGTAGTTTCTAAATGATCTATGCAAAAGTTTTATTTATATGGATGACTGAGAAAGCCTCATATGCACATGTGTACACATTCACTTATGTGTCTGTTGTATGTGCTGTTTGTAAGCAGCTATTTTTAAACTTTTACGATTTGACTAAAATCTTAAGTCCTCAAATAGACTGCATGTCACAGAATTAGTGAAAAATGAAAAATCCCTGACAAAACACACACACACACACACACACACACACACACACACACACACACACACACACGACACGGAGACACAACCTCATGCAGACCCTAGAGCTGTTCAGTTGCTGGGGTTTCTTTCCAATGCAGGTGGAGGGAGGGACACCTGCTGGTACTCACTGTCTCAGCATCACCATAGAAGGCGGCCAGGTCCAGGGGTGTGCGGCCATTCTTGTCTGTCTGGTCTATCGCAGCTCCTTCTTCAACCAGATACTGGACCACTGCCCTGTGACCTTTCAAACAAGCCCAGCTTAATGCTGACAGACCCTCTTTGTCTAGAGAAGAAAGGACAGCACCTGAAAGGAAAGCGCATTCATAGAACATGAACCTTATGAGATGACAAAGCCAGAAAGCAAACTGTTTCACAACTGCAGAATACCTGGCCAGAACCAAGTGTCAGTGAAGCCCTGTGAAGGGTGACACCAGCCGGATGGGCTGGCAGAATGGTCACTGCTGCTGCAGGGGAATACTGGGCATGTGGCTGTGTTAGCTATTCTTTCTTCTGTGTGTGTGTGAGAAAATTTCCATAACAGAAAATTAAGAATTTGAATCAGAAAGCACTGAATGGTTCTGCTAAACTTCTCTGTGTCCGTCCAAAAGAAACCTTTGAGCGCATCACGTTGCTACCTTTTGAAAGAAGGAATTCCACGGTGTTCAAGTGCCCTTCACAAGCAGCCACCATGAGGGGCGTCCGGCCTTGCTTGTCACTTAGGTTCACGTCACAGCCGCGTTCCAACAGCAGTCTAACAATCTGGAAGGGACACTCAGAATTACCATCCTTCTGCTGCCTTTTCAATCACACCTGCTATACCCAGACAGGTTTCTTGACCTTTAAAAATAGTCAAATGACTTCCCTTTAAAAATCCCTAAGTTGTGTGAACCATGGGGGCTGGAAAAGCTTTCCTCTGTATTCCTTTGAACAGAATCTTTTCCAAAATATATGCTTTTATCAGGCCCAATTCATTGCTGTTTCTGCTAAACATACACATACCAGACAGAAGTGGTAATCTGGGGGAGGAGGGATGCCAAGCACAACCCACAAGGACAAGACAGCCACAGGGAGGTGGGAGAATGAAGCATAACTCAGGGGGCTGAGCAGTGGTCATGGGGTCCCCCACAAGCACTGAAGACAACTAAGTACCTACAGTGGAGTGCTGGGCAGGAGGAGGGCACAGAAAGAAGCTCGCCCACCACGTACCCAAGCCACACTTTCCTAGGATGCAGCATTGGTGGACGGAATGCCTTTCGGGGAAAGCAACTTTTAGCAAAGCTCCCTGCAGGAGATTTTCAGCCTTAGAAATATGCCTTTCAACTGTGCATGGTCATAAGGCTGGGGAAAGAAAAACTAGAAAACCAGACAGGGGTCTCCCATAAACCCCATCCCAGTGGGAACTGCTTCACCCATAGCTTAGCGCAAGTTTTCCCTAGTGCATCACTTGTTACATTGCCACAGCAACAGGAGGTGACACATTCCCACTGCATTCTTGCTCTTTATCTGCTAAGGAATGCTTTCCAAACTTCCCCGTGGCTTAGGAAACAGTGGGGCAAGGAGAGTATTAGCCAGAGCATCAGGCTGAAGCAGTGAGGGTGACAGGGAACAGACGGTACAAACCAAGCTCTTAGGAATGGAATGGAGAGAAGAATCCTGGCAGGAAGTACTCATAGCTCCTACCAAGGGAGGTAGCAGGCATGGGCAGAGACACAATTCCATGAGCAAAACTTTGGTCTAGAAATTTCTTCTTTGTAATATTCATAATATCCTTTGTGTTCGTAGTGTATGTGTAACCTGGTGCTAGGCGTGGGGCAGGTATGCGGTCATTGTTTATGAAATGAAGAAACAAGGATTCCCTGCCCCCTCGAATGAACCACAACAACGGAAAACAAACCAGCCTGGATCAGTGCAGGACCACAGGGAAACATTTCCTTTTCCAAAGAGCACAACAGAACTGCTCTTCTTCCAAGTATGTTGGACAAATGCATCACAAAACAACAGCAGCAACAACACATATGTTAGTGCAAGCCTCCTGTTATCATGGTGAGTCTACCCACTCCACTTCCTCCAGTGGCTATGTCTCTGACCTGGATAGCTCAGCTTCGAGCAGCCTTGCTCCCCAGCCTGTGTGGCTGACGGTGTTATCCTGTCAAATGTGTGCCTCTATCAAGCAGTCCCGATGGCACGGCAGAAGCCAAGGATGGGGAACAGACAGGCTCAGGGAAGCTGCATGTGGTCTCATGGGAGCTGGGCAGTATTAAATTCCATCCCCACTCATAGCTTCTGAAGCATTCAGGGGTCCCCTGGGTACCTGCCAATGCCCCTGACGTGCTGCACAAAACAAAGGTGGGACTCCTCTCCTGTTTGTCCGTGACACAGCAGCTCCATGCCCCAGCAGCAGCTCACAGATCTCCAGCTTCCCTCTTCCTGCGGCAGCAGTCAGGGCTAAAGGAAAGTCACATCTGTTAGTGTGTGGTGGAGCACAGATGGCCAGAAATTCTTTGACAGTTCTCTCTCCCAGTAGGAGGTGGGGGTCTATGTGTCCTCCCCCACGGAACCTGCAAGGGCTCTGTGACAGCTTTGACCAACAGAACACAGCAGAACCAATTGTTTGCAAGTGTCAAGGCCCAAGTCCTAAGAGATAGGCTTCTTGCACTTCCTTGAGCACTCTTTCTTGGAGCCCAGATGCCATGTTGAGAGGAAGCCTAAGCAGTCCTGTGGCAAGACCCCCACTGAGAAGAACTGAGGCCTGGGCAAGGCTGCCAGTTCCAGATGGGCTCCCAGCAGATAGCCAGCACCAGCCGTCAAGCCACATGCATGTGCTACCCTGGAAGGGGATCCCCTTTACCTAGGTCATGCTTTACCTAGGTCAAGCTGCCCTGCTAAAGCCATGTGAGCAGAAATGAGCCATCCCCACAATGCCCAGACCAAACTGTAGATTCAGAAGTAGTTAAGTTTTGTTTTTGTTTTTCACAAGAAAAGATAACCAGAATACAGTGCAACACAAACAAAGGTTGGTGTTATTGTCCAGTATGGCCTCTTACCCTACAATCACAAAATTTCATTCAAGAAGAATAATCACTGAGGCCGTCTAGAGTGCACGTCATTCCACCCTTATTAAAGAATCTCTAATACGTCAAGATTCAGGGTTAAGAAAGACAAGAAAGAATTCCTGCCAGCAGGGGTGTGTGAATGAATGAATGAATGAATTAATTAATAAGTAAGTAAGGAAGTCAAGAAAGAAAAAAAGCAGATCCCACTGTAGAGGGCCTGAGTGAACACGCTGGCCCATTGTCGTGGCGGTGCTGTGGGAAATCAGCTAAGGATGAAAGAAAATGGCAAGCAGGGAGAGAGGACAACAAGGCAGGGTACTCACAACACCCTCCCATCAGCCTGGGCCTCCCACTGTCAGATTCTTAATTTGGGGGTGATAAACAGGGGATGTAGTTCGAAGACTTGCTTCTGCTCATCATGGGAATTACTGTCTAGAGAGGAGGACGGAGGAAGTGGCAGAAACAACCCCAGGTCAGGAAGATCAGCTCTTCAGCGGGACCAGAGGCCAGGAAGGGGCTGAGTGGCAAGGATGGCTGCTCCTCTGGAGGGAGGGAGAGTGTGGCACCCTGGCTCTATTCCCAGTACGTGCCTGGGACGACTCTGTTTCTAAATACAGCCTCGAACTATACATTTCCAGGTTCCAGAATAGGGTAGTGTTCTTACAAGTCAGGCAGACAGACCTTTCAGACTGAAAATGGGCAACACAGGAACAGGCCTTCAAAAGGTGTGGTCCACACGCCAGGGAGCCTATGCAAAGCGCCTAGCCTCGTTAGTAACAAGAAATTGATGCGGAACAACAGGAAAGTTCACACCCTGCTAGTGGAAGGGCGCACGGCGGCTGACGCGACGAGTAAGTTGAAGACAGGTGTATCCCCACACCCAGCAACCCACCTGCAGAGATGCACCCTGCAGGCACTCTCAGGGTACACCAGAAACATGTGCAAAAATGCTCACAGCACCCCAGGCTGCAAGTAACCCAAACAACCATAATCATCATCATCAGCAGCAGCAGCAGCAGCAGCAGCAGGCTTCGAGAAAGTGGCACAGTCGATCAGCAGAACACTACACATCTAACAAATAAACACCACGCAGCTAAACGTGACTAAGTCTGTCTCACAAACTTAACAAGGATTCAAAGAAACCAAACCCCAAAGAAAACATATGGAAGACTTTGTTCATGCATAGTTCAAAAGCAGAGTGCTGCAACAGTCATCTCTGGAGAGGGTCACCTGTGGGCTTCCGATTAGCAAGGGCAGGACCTGGCTTGCCTGCTGAACATCTAAGCCCAGGTCTCAGAAGGTGAGGGACTGCTCAGCTCTGGAGTCCCAAGGTCCAGAAGGTAACACAGGACAACACAACTGAAGACATGTTCTTGTACTAGTTGCTACATGTGACCTTGGCAAATCCTCAAGGTCTGCGAGCCTCAGTTTCCCCATGCAGAAAGCTAAGGAGTTGAGCCTGACCAGAGTAATGAAGAGGCCAAACTTCCACAAATACTTAGTTCTAATTTCACTTTTAAAATTTATCTTATTTAAAATTTTGTAATAAACTCAATACCCTCCGCCACCACCACATTTGCTGTTACTGACTTTTTTTTTTTTTTTTGAAACAGGATCTCACTCTGTCGCCCGGGCTGGAATGTAGTGGTGCAATCTCAGTTCACTGCAATGTCCACCTCCCGGGTTCAAGCGATTCTCCTGCCTCAGCCTCCTGAGTAGCTGGGATTACAGGCACGAGCCACCATGCCCAGCTAATTTTATTTATAGACAGACACACACACACACACATTTTGGAGACTAAATTTTGCTCTATCACCCAGGCTGGAGTGCAGTGGCATGATCTTGGCTCACTGCAACTTCTGCCTCCCAGGTTCAAGCAATTCTCCTGCCTTAGCCTTCCGAGTAGCTGGAATTATAAGCACGTGTGACCATGCCCAGCTAATTTTTGTATTTTTGGTAGAGACAGGCTTTCACCACGTTGGCCAGGCTGGTCTCGAACTCCTGACCTCAGGTGAACCACCTGCCTCGGCCTCCCAAAGTGCTGGGATTATAGGAGTGAGCCACCAAGCCCGGCCTAATTTTTATATTTTTATTCAAGACAGGGTTTCACTATGTTGGCCAGGCTGGTCTGGAACTCCTGACCTCAGGTGATCCACCCACCTCAGCCTCCCAAAATCCTGGGATTATAGGTGTGTGCCACCGTGCCTGGCCGCTATTACTAAATTCTAATACCTTGGGGCCCAGCGTGTTACCGTGGGTGCCCAAAGTAACTTATCACTGGGCAGTCTTGATAATAGTGTTTTTCCTGTCATCTTTCTAGTCAGATAATTTCTCAGCTACAGGAAGAGCTGTTCTTAACAACAATTGCCATCTGCATCACTGATCTGGATGAAAGTGGATTCTCTCAAGACAGCGCAACAGAACAAAACATCAAAGGGCAGGGATACTACAGCTGATCTGGACTGCAGGTACCATTCATATCTGTGTTATGCAAACAGGCCCATTGCCCTTACTGAGGAGACATTTAAACTTAATCTCAGTGTGCTGTGACATGGTAAATGCCCCATAAACTGCATACCTCGACCATACCTTGGCTTTCCATTGAAACTGCTCTCTGTAACCCAAATGTGACAGGCAAGCAGTCCAAACCAACACCATTTTGGCCCCTGTGCTATTTTAAGACTTGTATTAAGTAACTATGGTCTGTAATTTCCACCCTACCCAGACAATGTGTAAACTAACGCTATCTTGACTTCTGTGAACCACTTCAGTAACAATCGGAATGTCCAAAGTCCCCTGGCACTCAGAATGTCCAAAGCCCCTCACCCCCACCCCCGCCCAGGAGGTGGTTTACGGGCATAAAAGGTCTTGACATCCTCCTTTCAGGGCCATGAGTTAGAGAGATGCGAGTCCTCCGTGGCCGCCAGCAATAAAGACCCTGTAATTTAGCCTAGTCTTTGTCTCAGTGGTGATTTCGCATACTCGGTTACAACACATCGGTATGTAACTGAGATAAATACCATTCTGTTAATACCATTCTGTTAATGGTATTTATCTCAGTTTTACATACCAACACACCGAGACAGAGGTGGGTGGGGGGGTGTTTCATACGTAAAAAGTTTGGAAACCAGGGTCCAAGGTAATCCCATCTGTACTCTGAGAATCTACACAAACCAGGTCTGGTCCCTGCTGTCTCGGGAATCCCAGCTGTAGTCTCTTCCTATCATGATAACGCTAATGATTCCTACTAACATAAGGCTCGGGTACTTTTCTATTTTAAGACACCAGAATACACCACCCCAAATATGCCTTTTTGCATAAAGATCTTGAGCTGATTATTTTGAGAGACTGCAGACACAGGAGATATTCCAAGAACAGAGCAGAAATTATTCTCTTGTAAGACAAATTTCTGTCTATAAAGGAAAATCTCCACTTGGAAGGGTGTCTTCCTTTCTATACCAAGAAGAGAAGGACAAGTACATCACTAGAGACTTCTATCAGTGGAGAATCTGGCTCACAAACCTTACCCTTGGTAACTGCTTTTCTTGGGTACCTCCCCATAACTGGTCTTCCCCACACCATTTATCTTTGTTTCAGGGGCTGATGGCTTTAAGCCTAAAATCTAAGCCACCTCTTGGACACTGACTCATTTCTCTGGGTATCTTCCATGAATACTAGAGATATACCTGCTATTCAACTTGTTTGTTTTCCTTGTGTTCATCTGTCTTTCATTGCTGCAGTCTGTTCCAAGAACTGTTTAGGGTAGGGATAAAGTGATTTCTTCCTCCCCTACATATACATTATCTGGATTGATCTGATCATGACCCTGAAAACGTGTGATTCTTGTGCTAGAAGGTGTGGGTATTAAGCCACTACCTAGATCTGCTGCTGCTAGGCAATTTTCCTCCAGGCAAGGAACAACTCCTCTTCCTCCTCTCCCCAGTTGTAACTGACCAGAAGGAACGAATCAAAACAAAGACACATGGGCTCCAGGCAGAGGCAGGGCCCAGGTAAATGCAGGACTCCATGCAAAGGAATAGACATACGACTCTTGCACTTGATGAGATCTGAAGCAGCTGATCCACCACAGCATTGTGTTCTTTTATTTAGTAAACACATTTCATCTCCATTATAAGCAGGGCCTTTAAATCAGGATTTCTTTTGCAGCTGCTACTGAATTTTTGCAACAGCAGCACATCTGAAATGGCAGTCCAGCACTAAAAATAGGGACTTGGGTTTCACAGAGGCGTCAGGGAAGCCACGAGTAGAAGCAACTGACAAGGGGCAAGCACGCCACCCCGGGCATGGCAGCTGGATTGGACCCTGTCCTCCTCCTTTCCTTCACGACCCTTGCTATGCATTTGGTAACTTCCTCTTGACGCAACTAAAGACCTGTAAGCACAGGTAGACTTTGCTCAGGCTTAAAAACGATCACCTTCTACACACAAATTCCTGACGAGGCTCTTGTTTACAAAGGATGCAGACAGACGACTAGATCTGTGTTTTCCTTTTTCTATGCAGATTGAATATTCTGGGGCCATCACTGCAAACTCCTGAGGTTTAGGATTATCTCAAGTTTCAGCAGCCACTGGGACTTACAGATGCCATATACGGAAACAGGAGAGCCTGAATAATAGCCAGCCACACACTTAAGCAAACAGAACCACGGCTAAACTATGCTCAGGAATTCTAGCTATTCTGCTGCAAAGGCAGACAGACCTCCAGTGCTGCCGGGCAGGCTCCAGTGAGGGTTAATGCAATCTGCCTGACCAGAAGGAGAAGAGAGCAGGGGAGAGGGCAGGAGAAGAGGATGCCTTGCAATGGGCAGTACCTTGCCTTCTGGCAATAAAATACAAAGATGAAGGAGGAAAAAAGACTTAGTATGAAATGGGAGCTCTAAAATCAACACAAACAGATGGCACTTTTTAGGACTCAAATTGGACACAATTTCTTCTAGTTGCAAAATCCTTAACAAGATGGCGTTTGTAAATTAGATTCCCATGAAAGTACACATTCTCTGATGATCTGAATAATTTCACCTCAGCAACACTGTCCTGTCTTGAGAATGCACGTAGGTTTGTAAATGGCAGACGTTCATCTTAAGAACAACCTGACTGACAACAATCTGAATGTATTGGAAATAGCAGTGAGATAGAGCACCATAAAATGGATGGTTTGCAGGAATCTTTCACATATTAAAATTCTCCAGGAAAAGATTTGATTTGCAAAAAACTTGACTGTCAACTTGCCAGGGACACAGTCATTCCACAAACAGGGCCATTCACAAAATTTTATAACAGATCTGTCACTCAAATTCACGGGGTGTGCTACCCAGGCTCAGGATGGCTTGGCTTTCAGTTCACAACAATGGGTCCACATTCCCACCTACATTTGCTTTTGGACCCAACCTGGGGGCTTGGAGAGAAGGGCGGCAGGGTCAGTGCACACAGAGGCAGCTCCCTGCTGGGCAGACTATGACCTTTTCATACATTACCCACGGATGTATGAAAACCATTCTCCAAGCTGGAGCTGAGTGCCTCCGGAGAACAGCTTACAACTGTGGAACCCACTTCATGCTGGCTGAGAGGGTGCTGCGAGCAGGGGAGGGTGGCTGGGCTCTGCTTGCATACTTGTGTTCATGTATGCAATTTACTTCTTATCCCAGCCTCTCCCATATTTTATAAAAATGAGTGGAAAATGAAAAAAATGAAAGTGTCATCATTAATTGAAAGCAGCAGGGTTCTCATAAATGTCATCTAATTGTAGCCAACGTGAGAACCGTGAGAAGCGATGAAGGCAGTGATGCCTGACCCTCAGCTGCAGGCCCGATGGCCACACCCTGCTCAATTGTAAAGGCAGAGACCACTAGGAAAGAGTGTGCCTGAAACACTGCACATTTCTCAGCTACTTTATCTCAATGATAAAATGTAATGAGGGATTTTATGATTTTTTAACTCTAGGAATTACTCCCCACCCGCCTTTGTAACTGACTCTAAGTGGCTACATGGAGGCAGGCTTGCTTTGCTGCCACTGGGAGCTTGATTGTCACAAGGAGGGCTTTGGGGAAGCTGGCCCCCAAGTCCTCTGGCTGAAAGCAGCAATCCCTTCCCAAAAAGCCAGGCATTGTGCCTCCCCCTACCTTTTAGAAATAGAATTAAGCTAATAGAAGCCAAATTTCATAGCCTTGCTTTGTTCTTTGTTAGGCATTTCCTCTTGTCTCTAAGGGAGGGGAGGGCTTCCATTAGACAGAAGAACATACTTTCCAAGAGCTATAAATTCTTCACTGCTACAAAGACCAGGTAGTTATCTAACCTAATCCTCAACAATGTAAAGGATAAAATGAAACGTAATCAAGATGCTCTTCCAGAAAACTGTACTTGCACTGGGAGACAAACGCCCCTGATCCTGGGGTCTGGGACAAGCCACCAACACTGTCAGCCTCAAATGAAACTTCTGCAGGCCAGGGCCCTGCTGCTCAGTGACCTCACAAACGGGAAGTCAGCTCTGCCCAGGTACAGTCATGCGCTGTGTGACGATGTTTCAGTCAGCGACAGACTGTGTATACAACAGCACACTGGTCTCACAAGATGGTAATACGATATTTTTCTGCCTTCTCTGTGTTGAGACATGTTCAGATACACAAGTACTTACCTCTGCATTATAGCTGCCTACAGTATTCAGTATAGCAGTATGCTGTACAGGCTTGGAGCCTGGGAGCAACAGGCTGTGCCATCCTGGCTTGTGTAAGTACACTCAAGGATGCTCGCACAATGATCAAATTTGCCTAAGGACTCATCTCTCAGAACTATCCCATGCACGAATTTAGTAAGTTGCGATTTCCAACACGTTCCTTACTGTTTCCCATTTGGCAAAACTCTTCTAGGAGGGCTATCTCCCAACCGCCATGATGGGGCCTGCAGAGAAAGCCTGGCTGGGGCCAAGCACGGGGATTCCGTGTTATAAGGCAACAGGTGGCAACCAAGCATCATGGAGAAACCGGCCCCCTCTGCCGACAGACATGACCCCATTTCCACTGAGCTACCTATGGGAGGTGAATACAGGGCAGAACCCAAGTCTGGGGAACCAGAACACTCCTGACCATGTTACAAATTCTACCGTAAAAACACTGTCAGTCAGTGTGTGGATTAAAGATTAAACAGGAACCTCAAATTGCCAAGTTCTTTTAAAAAATAAAATGTGTAACTGCACCTGTGAACACGACTTCACATGTGTGACCAAAATTCTTTTCCACCCCTCAATTATGATTCCATCTTCCAAAGTAATTGCAAAGTAATTGAAGATTTGATCACTTATATATCCATTTAAATACTCAACTGACAAACGTATAGCATACATTAACATATTATAATATTAACTTATCACAACCCTGAGAATACATAGCATTTAATGAACACGTATCAACGGCTGAGAACTGTGCAAAATACCCTGGGTGGATTCTCATTTAATCTTACGAACCTTTTGAACCAGATGTCATTAAGATGTCCATGTCACTGAGTTGAGGTAACTGAGTCGCAGGGGTTACATCATCTGCCCCAAATCACAAAGGGAATAAGCATCAGAGTCAGAAATTTAACCCCAGCAACTGAATGGACCTGAAGTCATGCTCTTGATCAAAATAGGAAGATGCTATCAGCCTTAAATAACATGCCATGCCATTGTCAAGGCTTCCTACACGATGCTCTTGGCCCCTCATATTCATAAGTTCGTTGAACACAATCAACCTCTATGAGGAAGCACTACTCTTTAGTTATCTGTTACAGATGAGAAAAGCCCCAGAGAAATCAAACAATTTGCTTAAGGTCCCACAGCTAGTAGGAGTGTGGCTAAGCCTGAGTTCTTAGCTCCTACACTGCTGCCTCCAGGAGGTCGCCTTTAAAAACAGGGCATCAGCTTTCTATGAGTGTTGTTCAGAACAAAAGTACCAGCAAGTACTTTTCTTTTCCTAAGGAACTGCTGCGATTTCTCCCATGGGCAATAAAAATAGTCTACAAGGATTGTGTTCCCCTCTAATTCTGGCCACATGGCATTCCACGGCCACAGGAGTAGCTCAATTTAGTATGTCATGGCACGAATGCTTGTGCAGTTCCTCATGTCCTATTCCTGACTCAGTGTTTTAAAGTTCTTATTGGCATCCTTTCACATAAGCCTCTTCAAATCCTTTGAGGAATAATGTGTGAGCTATAACTAATGTAACCTAAATTTAAAACTAATTTCCTAAAACATAAACAACATAAGCCATCTTTCATACAGACTGTTCTTCTAAGAATCCATGAGAAGAGGACACCTTTGGACAGCTGTCATTTCTACAGTGTGCTGAGAATGTTCACGTTTGGAAGGCTGGGTTACATACCAAATGAACTAAAGCAGGCTAACGTTCTCTCTCCTCTCGGTAAAGGCTAAATTCGTGCTGAGGACTTGGTTATGTGCCAGCACCACATGAGGCCTCAGTGTAAAAGGGGGCATTTCCACAAAAGCATTTGACACAATCTCACATCTGGCCTCAAGAACACAGAAATAATCCAAGTATCATTTCAAGAATTTGAAAGAAACAAGGATGATTTTTCTGTGGGAGTACAGTCTTTCCCAAAATATGAATAAATATGTTTTTTCTGTTGAAGGCAGAAGTGTTTTGTTTTTCATTAAATATTCAGGAATCACTCACTAGAAAAATGGACTCTGTACAGCAAGAACAGCTTGATGAAGGTAGTCAAGGGGCCAATTCCTGGGTTTTCTACCTGCTCACTTCTGGCCACTAAGCCTGCCTTACAGGGTGGGGACACGCTGACCTAACCCCTCTTGCTCTCTGCAGAGAGGAGTGGTCTCTGGAACCCACCCACATCAGGGGCAAAACCAGAAGGCCAGGGTGTGGACAAACCCAGCCCTCTCAGTTTTGATCCCCCATCTGCCTCCACTGTTTGGGGGACCCCCCTTTGTGCCCATCCTCCTCCGATCCAGAGCCCTGGGTTACCCCTTCCATGTTGGTAACCCCACTTTGTCCCTCCCCTAACAGGGCACAGGGTCACCCCCCACCCCATCTCGCTCTTTTCAGGATCCTAGGCTGTCCCTCCCACGCACCCTGGAGGGTACTGGCTTACTCCCCAACATGCTGTTATGGTGTGGACAGTTTCAGCTGACAGCAGCCTGGATTTCCATGCCCACTCACCTTACTGAACCTTCTTAGAACAAACGCTTGCAGAGAAAGGAATGCCTTGATAAAGATTTTCCAAAACCATTAGTGGTGAGATGCTCAGGACCTCTGAAAAATCCAGTATCTTCCAGCAAGTCACAGTTTTCTCTACAGGATACTCCATGTGTGTTCCATGTAACGCATATCCTCCACATGCCCCAACAAGACGTGGGAAAACTCTTTCCTTCCAATTTCTCACCTGAAATTCTGTCCTGAGATCTGCATGCCTCACCAAATGAGGATACTTCCTGAGAAAGGCCACGCATCATCAATGACAGGGATGCACCCTGAGAAATGCATCATTAGGTGATTCTATCATTGTGCTAACCACCCTATGTGTAACATGGGGACTTACAAGAACCTCGATGGTGTAGCCTACACACGTCTAGGTTACATGGGACAGCCTCTTGCTCCTAAACTGCTAACCTGTATCCCCTGTTACTGTACTGGATACTGTAGGCAGCCGTAACATGGTGGAACCTGTGTGACTAAACACAGCAACATAGAAAAGGTAAAGACACAGTACTGTATAGGAACAGCTTCCCACATGCAGTCCATAGCTGACAGAAATATCATTATGTGGGGCATGACTGTATATGTGACTGCAATGCTCAACCCAGTAGTTCTGACATTTGTTTTAAATTCTTACCAAATAGCCCCTCTTCTCTCCAAAACACCTAAGGTAAATTCAAATGAAGAATGGGTAGTTTTTACACCAAAAGTAATAAGGCCTCTAGCTCCCTGTGTTCTGGGGCGGCCTTGGAGGCAGGAAGCCCACCATCCATGCCCTGAGGGCCCATGTAACAGAGGCCAAAGTAACCACAAAAGGGGAAAGGAAAGCAGTCCCATGGAAACTTAAATCAACAAAGTTTCAAATACAACAGGACCCAGCTTCACAGCCCAATTTGGAAACAGGTGCGAAAACCATGCCCCCAAGGGGCCTGGAAACACCCACCCCAGCCGCAGGGCACTGCCTGAGACTCAAGATCCAGAGGGAGCCAGGTTCTGTCCAAAATTCCATCCAGAATTAGCAAACAGTGAACTAAAGTGAGCACACATGCTGAGCGGAACTGCTGCCATGGGCTACACAAAGGGAGGCCAGCGATGCAGCTAAGCAGTCCATTCAATTCACAGAGGAGAAGATCTCCCCATCTTAGGAGCAGGGGCAAACAGTAGCTTTGGAAATAAAAAGTATTTACCTGACTTAACTCTTCTGGAAAGTATTCAACAATTAAAACAGTACAGAGTTAACATAAAGTAACACTTCACATAAAGTATTTCAGTCAGACTTTTAACTAACTCTGATAGGGCATCCCCTTCCAGAAATTAGGGAAAAGCAGCCTTGGGGAGCCACTGGAGTCTTATATGCATGAAGGACCTCCGAGGGGTAACTACGGCAGGGCGGGACGGCTGTCAGAGCCCAGCATGAGGGCACAGCACACCCAGGCTGAAGAGAGCACAGATGGGGCTGTGCCCACACCAAGTTTGGCTGCTAATAGCTGTGTTCCCAAAGATCCAATCCAGCAGCCCACAGTGCCCTCAGCACAGGTGCCGCACCGAAGACATGGCAAGAGGATCTGAGCCATCCTGGAGTCCAGCAGAGCATCGTCTGCACTAGAACACCAAGAAATTAGGACACTGGGTCATTATGAGTGAACAGGTCCCTTACTCCTCCCCCTCCAACCACAGGTATTTCTCCCAAATTATTCTCCAAGTGAGCATCTCCCTCCCTCAAAATGATATGGCCTTGTTTCCTTTAAATCCACTTCTCCACTTGGTCAATACCTATGTAACAAGCACTGGGCTATACCTGCGCTGACCAATTTGGTGGCTACCCATCGCGTGTAATTTAGATAAATTAAGGTAAGATTTTAAAGTGTTGTTCCTCAGTTGCACACGTCACATTTCAAGTACTCAATAGCCACATGTGGCTAGCAGCTACCACGCTGGACAAAACAGACACCACTTCCAACACTACAGAAAGTTCTATTGGGCAGCACTAGAACGGACAGTTGCCATACACGAAAGTGAGCACAAGAGACAGGGAAATTTCTGCCCTCATAAAGCCTATGACTGGCTGGATGTGGTGGCTCATGCCTGTAATCTCAGCACTTTGGGAGGCTGAGTCAGGAGGACCGCTTGAGCCCAGGAGTTTGAGACCAGCCTGGGCAACATGGCAGACCCCCATTTTTTATATCTCTACAAAAAATACAAAGATTAGCCAGATGCGGTGGCTAATGCCTATAGTCCCAGCTACTTGGGAGGAAAAGGTGGGAGGATCCCCTGAGCCTGGAGAGGCCGAGGCTACAGTGAGCCAGGATTGTGCCACTGCACTCCAACATGGGTGACAGAGTGAGACCCTGTCTCAAAAAACTTGGGAGAAGCAGCCTCCTATCAAAGAAGCCACACAGAATAAGCCTATGAAATAAGATGTACCGATGATAAGTCCTACGAAGGAAACTGCAGAGTGAGCCAATGGAGTGGAGAGGGGTGAGGCTGGCCCATCCACCCACATGGCAAGTGCTGGAGTAGAAGGGCCTCTGTTCTCTTCAGTGCAAGGTTCTAACCAGAAGCCCATAAGCAGGCTCACATACTTGAGAGTGGCCTGTGACTTGAAGACACAGTCCTTCTGCCAATCCACAGCAGCATGAGGTCACCAGCTAAGCATTTCTGGTCATTTCAGCTTGGGCTAAATTCACAGCAAACACTGACATGGAGACAGTAACTCAGTGTAGCCAGAACTTTGTGGGAGGCAGCATGGACTTCTCACAGCTGTGGAATGCCGGAAACAGATGCCATAAGCATCTGGTGGGTTCTCACCATGTTTCAGGCTGCCCAGAAACTACACAACAGACACTGACCGAGTCTGTGAATGTCACCAAGCCAAGGGCCTTGGCAGCCTCAGGGCGGTGCTGTTAGGTACAGGCATTCATCAACTGCTCTGAGCTTTCTTCTGATGAATGTGTCACACTACTTCTTATTCTCCATTGGAGACCTTTGTTTCTGGGGTGGGGAGAGGGACAGCTCGAGGGCTACTGGAACTACAGAACTGAGTTTTGAATGGCTGGTCCCTAAACACTGGACACACAAAAAGCAAATGGTCCCAGATGCTGGTGAAAACAGAAACTTAACACAAGTCAAGCCCTCTGCTCTCCAAAACCAGTAGAGACAGCCTGCAAGTTTTCTAAAGGTTGTGGGTTTACTGCAATAAACCTCCAAACTAAATACTGTTCCCATTTTTTATGAATGTCATAAAATTCTATTGTACATTTTCTTATCTTCTTCAACCTAACATAGGAGCCACCTACTTCTGTGATGACATCTGTTGACTCAGGGTCACCAGCAGTGAGATGTGTGCAGGGCTGAGAGTGGAGGGCTGCCCCTGTGCCTGATGCCACCACACCGATGGCCTGAGTGAGGGGGACCTCCACGGGCCTGCTGTTCCCTGGCTAGTGGCCATCATTCTACCTTACCAAGAACCCACTGCTTCCAATCAGCAACAGGCACGACAGCCACGCTTCTGCCATGTGGAACAGATTCACTGGATTGCAAGGCTTTCCTGGCAGAAAACTGAAGGAGGAATCTGTGCATGAATTTAGCGCCTCTGCCAGTGGCTCTGGCAATGGTGGAGAAGAGATGGGCAGGTAGCTGTCCTCCTAACGGGGATGGAAACCACAGGCCTTTCAAAGGCAGCAGGTGAGTCAAAACAGAGGAGGAAGCTCTGCCTTGTCACCTCATCAGCTAGCATTTTAAAGCCAAGCTGTTCACAGCTAAATCTATGCTGAACAGACTTGGGTAACATACTTAAGGTTTCAAAAGAAATAATGAATGGTGTTATCCTCACCAAGCTTCCAGTTTTTCTACCACCTTCCCACATCCCAGATAGGTATCACTCTTGGGATCCTATCCTTGTGCTGTGGCTAGGGACAGATAAGGTTCTCCTGGTGAGAACCAGATGAGTCCTGGTTCTCCTGGTAAGAACGAGGACTGTGAGCTAACCCATTCACTCACATGATCCTTACCAAGACCTTCGGTTCTCTGTACGATGCCTCATCTGCCATCACTCCCACATTTAGGGTTGGTAAGAGACCCCATGTGGCCAAATCCCAAACACGGATGTCACATTCTAGGGCATGCAGTATACATTTGTGTAAAGACCCATATTTGCAAATGTCCTCTCAGCTGAAACCCCCTGCAAGATTTCAAGGTATTTTTCTGACAAACACAGATCTGGAAAGTAGGAGGGCTTGGGGCAATAGACAATAGTGGTTGTCTTTGAAGGACCACAAGAGAAAGGTACCAGACAGAAAAATGCACAGAAAGCAAGGCTGATTTTGTTGACATGCAGTCCACAGAGAACCACTGGGCTCTCTAAGCCTGAAAAACAGCACTTAGCTTGCCTCTTCTTGGTTTAAATTTTAACAAGTGTCTCAAGTAAACTCTTGCCCAATAAAATTCACCCCAATGCCTGGTGAGGAAGAGTGTGAACTGCTTCCTAGGTTGCCAAGTGGTCTGAAGGTCATGCGTGAGGCTTTGGAAGGAGGGAGGGGCTGAGTTACTGTTTACCTTTTCATTAAGACCCGGGGGACAACCACAAGGAGTTGAATTCTGCCAACAGCTGAGAGTTTGGAATTGGGTCTTTCCCCAGTGGAGTCTCTGACGAGAACACAGCCCCAGCCAAAGCTAATTAGGTGCCTGGTAAGGTACTAAAGTAGAGAATCCAGCCAAACTGTGCCAAGAATTCTAATCTAGATAAACTGTGAGCCAGTAAATGAGTATTGTTTAAAAAAAGAAGATAAAGGCTGATGGGAAGTCTGTCGTTTCTCATGTGTCTCTTTAGCTATCAGCTGAGAGGCAGATTCTCAAGGCGGGAGGATAATGCAATGCAGGACTGGTCATCGAGAGAAGAGAGCTCACAAAAAGCCTTCAGAAGTCAGCCGTTCTCTGGAATTTTCTTCCAAATGAAAAAGTCATCTTGAATATTAAAGGTCAGAAATTCTCATCTGAGCTAAGTGTGTGATGTCACGGCTGCTAAACCTGATGTCCATCATCTTCGTGGGTACCACTCACTGTGTGTCACTCTGTCAGCCTTTCCAGACAGCTTTGCAGGGAGCTAGGAGTCCCCTAAAACGATTTGGGATGCTTGTTCAGAAAATCCAACCTTGGGCTTTCCCCCTAGTGAATCGGAATGTCTAAGCACAAGGGTCCCAAGAAGCTCTTATCACTAGACAATGAAAGAACAGGGATTTGGACCTTCTGGCTGTCAGTAGTCATGCTCTTATCCACTCAGCAATGCTGCTGCCCACTATCAAATTCCATCACATGGAAACTTTTCTTTCACTAAATTATGGAGCAGCCTACACTATTTAAAAGGGTAAGGGAAGGATTCCATAAATAATTATGCAGTATTTCAATCCACATACTTTTATCCGTAGACATAATCCAACTCCGGAATTCTGTACTTTGTCTACACCTGGAAGCACACCCAGCTCCTCTTTTGGGCCCACAAAGGAGATGGAACAAACAGCTGTGAGGCTCTGAAGGGCAGGCTTGCACTCCTGCCAGGAAGTAAGGCTCTGCGGCTTTCCCCTAGGGTGAGCTATCTAATAAGCTTGCCACATCACCATTTGGCTTGTTAGGAAATAATTTAGGAGCATTTGGAAATAAATCTGTGCAAGAGAAATGGAAATCATATATACAGGTACACACACAGAAACATAACCTGCAAATTCATATTAAACACTTTTGGTGACATCTACTTAAAAACAACTCATAATTTAAAGTCTTAGATTTCTAACACTAATCCAGTCACATGGAAAACTGGAAAGCAGAATTACTGATTTAGTCTCACAAGCAACCAACTCAAATCTTCACCAGGATGTGCTCATCCCAGGCTTCTTCTCACTTTAAAGACCAATGGAAACGACTTGATGGCTTGCATTCGGTACGGTAAGGAGACCCCACGAGGCTGAGTTTTACCCTCATTCTATACAGGGCAGGGCAGGCCACTGACTTCTGCGCTGAGCCACCTTTGATTCATGTGAGAATGGGGATGGAAGTTCATGCCTGGCTCACCGTGCACAGGTCACAGGAAGATCACATTGGTTAGAGGTGTGAGATTTGGCAAACCAGAAAACATCACCTTACTTAGGGGCTTCCACCTGACATTCATCAGATGCCTGGCAACTGTTAGTCTAATTCAAAATAATCAGTTAATAGAATTGCTTTAAAAAATAAAATCTTATGCTTCTAGTGAAGTTTTGCTACTCATTTAGAAAGTTCAAGAGGCTCTAAACTTCAAATGCCTGTGATAAAATAAAAATAAGACTACATACATCATTCATTTTTAAGACAATTAGGCCAAAATGCAGCTAAAACATCAAGCAGACTGCCCCAGACTATAAGGAGTAGCAATCTAATTACCTGTTTCTCCCCACAACGTGTCGGTGCCATTGACTTCTACTTCATGTTCCTTCTCCATCCCCAGCAAGCACTGGACCACCTGTCAGAAGTGGCAAGGTGATTTAATGAGTTCTCATAGCAAGAGGTGCTTATTACAGCCCATGCATCAAAGGAGACAGTGTGTTGTTTTTTAACCATTATTATCTCACGCTGCACGAGAGAAAAATATGATGAAAACTGTTTTCAAGCATAATTCATATGCTATTCACACTTTCAGTTGGAGAATAATTTTAAAAAATCTCAGTGAATTTCAGCAACATTGTTCAGGATTACTAGGTACTCAGAATTCTAATGAATTCTAACATGACCCAAATATGCCAGCCTAATCAACAAAGGACATGGCAGATCACATGAAGTGCAGTTTCCGCATAAATCACCAGAAGATAGTGAATCAATTTTTCACAAGGAAGGAAAACAAGGTGATATATGCCTTCTTCAATCAAAATTTTTACAAAGTATTGTTCAAATACATTTTCTACTGGAAGCATTCTTCTTTTCCCTTATGGGACTCTCCCTGTCAAAGAGGTCAGGTCACAGGTATGGAGGCAGGAAGGCTGGTGTGCAGGGAGACGAAGCCTCTGTGCCCTGGACCTGAGCCGGCGTTCACCCTGAGCAACAACAGCGAGCAATGGGAGAACATGACACCGCCACCTTCTGGTCTCCTAGCCCACACTCCTTGCGGAGGCGGGGGCTGTATGATGACCCCCAAAGATGTCTACATCCCAACCCCCAGAGCCTGTGAATGCGACCTTATAAGGCAAAGAGGAATTGCAGATGTGATTATGAATCTTGAAATGGGGTGATTACCTCAAATTATCAAGGTTTATGTCTGATACACACCTGATCTAATCAATCACAACCATCCTCTTTAAAGGGACAGGAGGAGTCCAGGTCAGAGGGCAGAGGAGAAGAGATGACAGAGGCTAAGGTGAAAGTGGGGCGCTCTGGAGATGGAGGAAGGGGCCACGAGCTAAAAAATACAAGGGGCTTCAAGAAGCGAGAGAAAGCAAGGAGACAGGTTCTCTCCTAGAGCCTTCAGAAGGCAGGCTTGGCCTCCTGATAGTGTGGTTTTAGACTTCTGACTTCCAGAGCTGTCAGAGTAATTGTGCGCTGCTTTAAGCCACCAGCTTTGTGGCCATATGTGATAACAGAGTTAGGAAACTAATAAGCCCTTCAAGTCTCATGGTGAACAAACCCCGCTTTTTTCACGCTACTGGCTGTGCTGAGGTGGTTTTCACTCAGCATTTCCTCCCAACCAGCTTTAAAACAAGGGGGTTAGCATCAGTGAGACAAAGGTCATTCCTACGGCATTCATCGTCCTCCCAAGGATGATTTTTCACACTTGAAAAATGGAAAACATCTACATTTTCATGTGTGTTTGACAGTATCTCTCTGTATATATCTATGTGCTTTTAATGTTTTAAATGCCAGAAATTAGCCAGCCACTATTTCATGCTTGTGTGAGTGTCCGCCCATGAGTTTTGAATGCCCAAGTCAGCCAGGCAGCTTCACACTGAAATTTACTCAAGTCATTTTGGAAAAAGAATCCTACCAAATACTGGCACCTCTAATTGCCTCAAGATAATTGAGAGTGAGAAATACATAGGAGGGAGCACGTAAAACATTATTATATTCACAGACAAAGAAAGCCAAGACACACAGGTCAGGAGGTGACAATTAAATCTTCAAACTGAGGAATACCAACATCTGTCAGAAATAAATGCTCTATTTAACTGCTGCATGGAGTTTTCATTCAGTGGAGGAGCTGCAAATGACAAGCATTCTTACGTGCTATCAAAGCATTAAAGCTCTATTTTTAAAAATCCTTCAAATACTCAGGAACGATTTTAGAATCAGGATTCTATGTGATTATTGTTAAAAGAACACAAGGAAAGAAGAATGAATCAAAGGGGAAAAAATGTAAAACAGCAGGGCTAGAGGGCAGAGCAGGGAAGGAGGAGAAACGTGAGGAAGAGCCGAGAGTGAATGACATCGAAAGGCCTCCCACAGAATAAGTCTGCCTGTCCCCATCACGTGCGCACGGGATTGTGCACTGTCACTCACGGGAAGGATGTGATGCCCATCAAAGACCTTCTACTGCAGGTGGTCAGCACCACCTGCTAGTTCTTGGAATCCTCGTTCTTTCAGCCCTTCAGTGTGTCAATCGACCTGCTGGGCTACAGCTTCTAGCTTCCCAGGAGGAAAGCCCCTGCTCTACTCACCGAGCTGTGACCCATGCTGGCAGCTGCGGTCAGTGCCTGCTGCAGGGCGTGGCTCTTCCTCAGGGCGCCTGGCTGGGGAGGACCTGGCGACCACTCACAGGTCAGCAGGTACTGGAGAATGTCACCATGGCCCCGTAGAGCACTGTGGACAAGCGCGCACTGGCCCTTCTTATCCAAGTGGTCCACCTAGAGGCAGGAGTAGGGGAAGGGTACGATTGAGCATCACTTTGCCTATGAGCACATGGATGCACCACCTAACTGTGTGCAAACCCTACTCCCTGTAAGCATATGTGGAGTTCACATTCAAACTTGTTTTTCTGGAGTACACGGAACCTTAGTCTGGATTAACTTCCAGGCGGTAACGAATGTACCATTCCAGGCCTCAGATTCCCTTTGCAAGACTCAGGGTCGCAAAACATCCTCCTTATCCTATGTCCCTGCAGCAAACTACACAAAGATCCTAACTCTCTTGCGAGCATGTATGGAGACACAGACCAAAACCTCGGACAAGGCCCTGTGCTTCCCGGCTTTGGTTGCCAGGTGGTGCATTCTAAGTCTGCTGTGACGAGCTATAATTTAGGGGGAGTAGAGCCACACTGTGGTCACTGACCTAGGAGATCCAGAGAAAGGGAGGGATGTGGAAAAACAGCTGAGTGTGAAAGAGCAGGAAGGGGGTCTGAGGGGCATCTTATTGGGAAGGAGGCCTCATGCAGGCCGGTGGCCTAGGCATGCTGGCAAGTAAGAGAGGTGGCCACAAAGTCAGGGCAGGCCAGCTAGCCAGAAAAAGTGAGTGCCACACACCTCCTCCTCAAGGCCCAAAGGCAGCAGGCAGCCCTTCTTGTCCTGTCTGAACCCCAGAGTACGGGGGCTGGGAGAGGAGCCGAGGGCCTAGCCTTGCATGACTACCAGCTCTGGGGACACCCTGCACCCTCACTACAGGCTTTGCCAGAGCCCGGTGACACAGCACTCAGCCTCCTACTCCAGAGCTTTCAGCTGTGATGGGGGAGGCCTGCTGGCCTCAGAATACAATGTAAAGCACAGCAGGAGTCTGGAAATGGAGGTGCGGTGATGTGCAGCAGTAATGTACCCACCCCAAAGGCTTAGCCACATATTTCCCTTCTCTATGAACTGGAGTTTTTAAGTCCCAAATGTTGGCTTTTTGAGAGAGAAAAATAAAGCTCCCATAGCTGTTATAAGCCTAATTTTTGTGAATTTTAAATATCCTAATTAAAAGATAAAAGATAAGTAGCAGGTTATGTCTACTGATATTCAAAAGGCACATTTCCCAAAAAATTGCTCCTAGTAAACCTAGAGTTTACAGTGAGCTCAATATCATTCTCATTTACCCTATTAAAGCTGACAATTCCTGGCCAGATGCAGTGGCTCATGCTTATAATCCCAACAGCTTGGGAGCCCAAGGCATGCAGATCACATGAGGTCAGGAGTTTGAGACCAGCCTGGCCAACATGGTGAAACCCTGTCTGTACTAAAAATACAAACATTAACCACGCATGGTGGTGCGCACCTGTAGTCCCAGCTACTCAGAGGCTGAAGCAGGAGAATCACTTAAACCTGGAAGGTGGAGGTTACAGTGAGCTGAGACTGTGCCACTGCACTCAAGACTGAGTGACAGAGCCAGACTCTGTCAAAAAAGAAAAAAGCTGACAGCTCTAGAGTAACTTATATAGCAATACATGCTTATTTTATATATGACTGAATGCTTATACAACGGCCCTGTGGTAGGGACTGCTGTTATGCCCATTTTACAGATAAGAAGCCTGAGACACATAGGCTCAATAACTTGCCCAACACCCTAGAGCTGGCAAGTAGAAAGATGAAGATTCCAGGTAATCTAGTTCCTGCAGCTCAGGCACATGGCTTCAAAGACCCATGGAACTCATCTTACTGTTTTAAAAAGACATAAAATGGGATAAGAAGAAGAGAGGAGGAAAAAAAGCAAACACTTAACCAATCTCAGTGCTTTCTAGATCGATACTTGCAGGGTTTTTAAAAGCTGGCCCTCCTCATGTGGCTAGGAGCCAGGGTCTCTGTGGAACTCTGCTTCCCCTGGACAACATTAAGCAGAGTAGCTGTGTATGAGCAAAACACACCTCTCTAAGGTTGCCCCAGTCAGGCACATTACAAAAGTGACTGATCCCTGCAGCCCTGCCCTTTCTGTGTATGCTGTGGTTCGAGAGACAAGAGAGTCTGGGCCAGCAGATAACAACTCTAGCAACGAGATGAAGCCATTTCCCTACCCCAGCCTCCCTCAAAGGCAGGCTGCCTCTTACCCTCGCTCCCTTCTTGGTCAGCAGACACACCAGCTTCATGTGGCCGGCGGCTGCTGCGTAACAGAGGGCAGTCATGCCGTTCTCCGACGTTCCGTTCAGGCAGGCACCGAATTCCAGGAGCAGAGTGACAACTTCCTCGTGGCCAAGGTGAGACTGGACGCACAGGATTGGGGCATTATTTAACACTTCTGTCCTGTAGTTCACGTTGGCCCCTCCCAAAATCAGGAGACGGCTCACCTGTTGGACAAGGTCCCCCAACAAGATTGTCACACACATATATATATGTCATCTAAACATTTGTGGAAATTGGCAGTATCCTCAATTTTCAGTATAATTTTAATCCAGTGGTTCTCAAACATGAATGTGCATCAGTATCACCTGGGAATATATTAACAATGCACATTCTCATTGGTGGGAATGTAAAATAATGTAGCTTACTGGGAAACAGTAAGACGGTTCCTCAAAAGATTAAAAATAGAACTACTGCCCCAGGCATGTGCCTGGAATCCCAGCTACTCAGGAAGCTGAGGTGGGAGGATCTCCTGGGGCCAGAATTTGAGGCCGTAGTGCACTATGAACACATTTGTGAGCAGCCTGCTGCACTGCAGCCAGTCAAGTTTTTTAAAAAAATCTAATTAAAAACAAAACAACAATAGAATGTCCACGTGATCCAGCCATCCCACTTCTGGGTATTATATAGAAAAGAACTGAAAGCAGGATCTCAAAGGCATGTTTGCACATTCATGTTAATGGCAGCATTATTCACAATAGCCAAGAGGTAGACACAACCTCAGTGTTCATCAGTGGATGACGAAAATGTGGTACGTGAACATGCAATGGATTACTATTCAGACTTATAAAGGGAGAAAATCTTGCCATATGTGACAACACAGGTAAACCTTGGGGGAAGTGAAATAGGTAAAACAAGCCAGTCACAAAATACAAATGCTGTGTGATACCACTTATGAGGTATATGCCATAGTCAAACTCATACAGAGAGCAGAATGAAGGTTTCTAGACCTGGGCACAAGGGGAAATGAGAGTTGTCACGTAAGGGATACAGAGTTTTAATTCTGCAATATGGAAAGTACTGGAGATCTATTGAACAACAATGGGAACACTGTTAACACTACTGAATTGCACACTTAAAAATGATTAAGATGGTAAATTTCCTTTTGTGTTTCTTAACTGCAATTAAAAATAAAAAAAAAAACTAAACAAATGGCCATGCACGGTGGCTCATGTCTGTAATCCCAGCACTTTGGGAGGCAGAGGTGGGCGGATCACCTGAGGTTAGGAGTTTGAGACTAGCCTGGACAACAAGGTGAAAACCCATCTCTACTAAAAATACAAAAATTAGCCAGGTGTGGTAGCGGGCACCTGTAATACCAGCCATTTGGGAGGCTGACACAGGACAATCACTTGAATGTGGGGGGCGGAGGTTGCAGTGAGCCGAGATCACATAATTGCACTCCAGCCTGGGGGAGAGAGTGAGACTCCGTCTCAAAACAAAAAAAACAAACAAACAAAAAAACCCTAAGCAACTGTAAATTATTGGGCCCCCGCCCCTGATTACTGATTCAGTGTATTTGGGTGGTACATTTTTAATGAGTTCCCTGTTAATACGGACACTCTTGGTTTGGGGAACCACATTTTGAAAAATCACTGTTTAACCTAAACAAAAATAGGAAATTCATTTTCCTGGCAATGAAGTAATAATTGTTTCTGGGTGCAGGGGCTCATAGCTGTAAGCCCAGCATTTTAGGAGGCTGAGGGAGGACTGCATGAGCCCAGGAGTTTGAGACCAACCTCGGCAACACAGCAAGACCCTGTCTCTATAAAAATGTAAAAAGAAGAAAATAGTAGTCATGGTGTTAAATAACTAATAGTGAGGTAAGGCCAAAAGTAAATATAAATACTTATTTCTTCACAAGGATATGTTACTAAAAGAAGCAGTACAGAAATGTCCAGGTGCCTCGGGACTGTCAGCAGCACAACACTGCCAGAAGACAATGTGCTGCTTCCACTAATAACTATATCCCCCACTCAGTAAGCTCCTTGGATCTAGGTATGGGAAAGCTTTTTATCTATAGATTTTAAAATAAAATTCACTGAACATATACAAATTTTAGGTATACTAATATCTTTTCTTTCAGATCTCCAGATAATTAGATAAAAATGATGCTCCTCTAACAGCTATTAAAATGTCCAGTGCATTTCTTTCAACGGCTCACTTTAATGGTCCTGACCCACATCAATCACTGCCCCTGCCAAAGCCTGGCAGGTCTTCCCGCTGTCCACTAAATGTGAAAGCCACAAAGACTGTCATTTATTGACTAGAGACACATGGGGATCATTAAAAGATAGAGAGAGACAACAAGGCATAAAAAATTCAGGGTATTTCAGTGATACGTGTCCACAAGAGTAGCTGACAGAATATTTACAAATTTAAAATTTAAAATTTTCCAGATGGGTCTGGAAAATTATACTACCAGGTGGTGAAACTATAACTCACAATTGCATGCGAGAGGTTAGAACCCCAAATGTCAAATTTGAAGAAGTCTTGGCTACTGAAGCTTGAACCCCATGTGATCCAGGCCTCCAGCTTCCTCTCTGATCTTCTCTGCAGAATCCTTCCCTCACTGCGGCCACCCTGGACCCAGCATGTGCTGTGACAGTGCCAAGCAGGGACGGCCTCATGGTCTCTACCCCTTATAGTTCCCTGACTCGAATGCTCATTCCATACATATAGATGCCAAAGGATCGCTTCCTGCAGGGCTCTGCTCCAGTGCCAAGATACGGGGGAAGAGAGTCCCCTGCCTCCACATACATGCACCCATGCATGCACCAAGCCCTCTCCATCTCTCAGCACACTCTGCTTTACTGCTTAGTCCACTGCACCAGACACTGATTCTACAACACAGAAGTTCCCAAAGAAGAAAGGCAAACAGAGCCCCTCCACAGACAAGGATGGCCCACATACCAACTTCTTCACACTGCTGGGACTGCTATCTACATTTAAGGAAGAATAGGCCATGTGCAAGTGACAAGGAGGCCCTGAGGAGCCAGCCGAACACCTGACCAACCTGCTGTTTACCTCATCACAGACACCACTGTCTGTCAGACCTGGGTAAGCACCAACCCAGCGTCTGCGGTCCTGTTGTCAACTTGCACTCATGGAGGAATGGATGAGAGATCAGAAAGGCCGTCCTGTCCTAACACTGCTGTTTCATGGGCAACTCCAGGCAAATGACCTCATTAATCCCCACCAAGCCTGCTCTACAGATCTATACAGGCTTGCTTTTAAATATGCCACCAAACTCAAATCTAACTCAAAAGCATTTTAAGATTGTATTATACTACAGCATTAATAAAAGTGTGGCCAGGCGCAGTGGCTTGTGCTTGTAATCCCAACACTTTGGGAGGCTGAAGTAGGTGTATCACCTGAGGTCAGGAGTTCAAGACCAGCCTGGCCAATACAGTGAAACACAGACTCTACTAAAAATACAAAAATTAGCTGGTTATGGTGGCACGCGCCTATAATCCCAGCTACTGGGGAGGCTGAGGCAAGAGAACCACTTGAACTCAGGAGGCAAAGGTTGCAGTGAGCCGAGATGGTGCCATTGGGCAACAAGAGTGAAACTCCATCTCAAAAAAATAAATTAAATAAAATAATAAATAAAAGTGTTTTAAAAACCCCTTTGGATAACTGTGGACAGAAGATTATGCTGAAGAAATACATGAGGATTTTATTAAGGCTGATGAAACCAGTCCTTAGCAAGAGGAGTAGAGAAGATACACCCATCTAGAAATACATGCAATGCCACCAATGGACACACCAGACTCTGCTAACAACAGGACGGGCAGGACCATTTGTAAATTCCCCGGATGATATTGCCAGCCAGTTACATTCTTTCCTCCCCCATCAACCCCATACCTTCTTGAGATCCATGAGCCTAAAAGATGAAGGATTAATGATTTGAGTTCTCAACCAGCCCCCAAACTAAACTACTGTGTAATTTTCACCTCTCTGTGCTTTAGGTGCCACCTAAGAAAACAGCAAGCTTGCCACCCCATTCTATCCAACAGGTAGTCTTTGCTAATAATGGTGGAAGGTATACTTGCAGTGCCATGATGAATCTTCTCCAAGAGTTTACCTGGAAGGCATGTGCTCAGGGCAGAGCTTTCCTAAAGATGTCATCAATTCATACTTAATCTGCTTTTGGAAAAAACAGTTTCTCTTGTGGGTGTAATGCTGTAGGTATTTCTACCACTTAACCCTCCATCATCTTTCTCTAACCTATGGTTCTTAACCTGGATGCACATCAAACCACCTGGGAGCTTGAAAGTTTCCAATGCCCTGGCCCCACCTTTGGAGATTTTGACTTAACTGAGGCTGGGGCTGCAGTGCCCAGAGCTCCCAGGTGATTCCAGCGGGCAGCCAGGGCTGTAAACACATTGAGTGATAAAGGCACCTGCAGAGCACAGGTTTGCTGAGTGTCGGGCGCCCTTCCAACTGTGTGATTTTGAGCAATTATCAACTGCCCTAAACCTTAGTTTTCTTATCCGAAAAATTCACAATAAAATTTCACTTCACTTGGTGGTTGCAAAGATTAAAAATCAATATGTTAAAAAAAAGTGTATGTGTGTATACATATATATACACATTAAGCATTTAGCATGGCACTCAGCATCCTGTACATGCTAAATAAACGTTAATTGATATTATTATAATCAAACTTTCATAGAGTCTTCAGAAAGGACAAGAACTCAGGTCCCTGACCTCTGGAAGGCACAGGATGGAGATCTGCCCTCCTGTCGATGTCACCCAGCATGCCCACCCTGGGCTGTTCACCAGCACAGAGCAGCAGGGACACCTCACAGAGGTAAGTCACCGCAACCATCACATCCTCAAGGTAGGCAGCTCCTGTTAACAAGCACCAACTGGCACATCCAGAAGTCCCAGGTGCCTATAGCAGAGCCACTGTTTCCAGAGATGAGGCAAAGCACCATAACAACTCATGTAAACATCATTAATGCCAAGCATGTTCCCGGTAACTTTAACATCTCAGGTAGGTTTCTCATTACTCGAGAGACAGGCTCTTTTGTGTCTCCACTTTATAGGTAAGAACACCAAGGCTCAGAGGGAGTAAGGCAGGGCTGAGCACTAAGCACAAAGCTAATGACAGTCACAGAGCAGCCAGGTGGCAGAGGCAGCTGCCCTGGCTGAGACTGCATTGCACTGAAGGAACCTGTTTAAATGATTAATCCTATAGATTTTCCACTAACGATATGGAAATTTTCTGACCATGATCACAGAAGCCCTTCTTGCACAACACTTGGAAGTGGTGGTATCTCTATACTTCTGGATTTAATGAAAACAGGAAGGGAGCTGGGGGTTACGCAAGGCAAATGATCATGAGGACCAGAAAAGGCTTGTTCAGGGTGGTCATGGGGCAGTGTCAGCATTCCCACTAAGTACACTGGAGGCTCACACAAGCACAATTGTTTTTAAACGTGTCCTGCCTGACTGTGATGCAGGATATGACTAGATCTCCGGCCAAGGGAAGTTAGGCCAAAGTCCATGCCTAGCTCCTGTTCTCCTCTCCTTTCTGCTGTCAGCTGAGCAAAGATTTGCAACCTGAATCCTCCTGAGGCCACAGCCTGTGGCTGGCCACCAGTCCTATGAGATGGTACAACAAAACCACTGACTGGATGGGACCCCAGTGGGCCAGCAGGGCCCAGGCTGGCCCATCCTAGCCTGGCCATAGGAGGTGACATGGTTAGAGACAGCTGGCATGCCACTGGAAGTAAAATACATCAAGTAATCATCGCAGAACAAGTCACTTTAATTTACCAAAGTGGCAAACTGCAATTATTGTTCAAAATGACATTCATTCCTGTATGACAACATTTAATATGCTCTAAAAAAAGTTCCTTAATTGCATGCATAATTTAAAATTACTGTAATTTGTTCAAGATCCTGTGAAAACCTTCCCCCCCCCCACCGAAAGATAAAAGAAACAGAAGGATAATGAAAAGACTTGAGATTCTATAACCACATCACAGAAATAATTTGGGGGATGGTGTAGATGTAGGTGACACTGGAGTTTTACAAAACAAAGTAAAAATGATTAACTCTTAAAATCGCATGTATGTTAAAGAGGAAAGTTTATAATTCCAGGAGGGCCACGCTCATTTCATTATTATGTTGCAAGTTTAAATTTACTGTCTTAAAAACTTGTACTCAACAGATGTTCCTCATTTACTTATCTCCATATTAAAATAACTTCTATGCCCAGAAATTCATTAAAGTATGAAAACAGATATTGCCATTTTTACTCTTGTCTTTCTTCCTTATGATTACAGAATTTTATTAGTTATGGAGAAGCCAAAGGATATACTCTTAGCTGAAATGAAAGATGAAACAATGTGAGTGGTTCAGGGGGAAGACCTGGGCTCACTAAACTGCCTCAGAGCTTCCACAGGCAGCAGGCACATCAGGGCCTGGGGCTGAAAGGTTTGGACACTAACTGTCTTTGTGGCCTTAGCAGGCTACTTGGCTTCTGTGTGCTTTAGATTCCCAGGCTACATGAAATCAGGAAGAAAAATCTACCTTAAAAAGCTGAGTGGAACATCATGACATGACAGCCACTGACCAAAAAGTGAAGAACCTCTTGGCTCCACAGAAGGCCATGCTGATATCCTTTCCATAGGCAGAAATATGCATACATGAAACCGTGATCATTGTTCTTGCATGTACTCATCTCGATGCATTACTCGTCAATGCCTCATTTCCCATGAACTCGAAAGAGATGGTCCAGGTTAGTAACCCAGGACACTTAAAAATCAATTTTCCCTAGAAATCTCTCTGATCTTTGATTTCCATTGTAAACTGTTTCCTTATCACATCCACTGAGAAACATTTACCATATGTGCACAGAGCAGCCCCGACCACCTACATCTTCCTCCCAAAAAGCTAAACTTCTGGAAGAACGAATAATAGAGCGCCCAAGCCTGTGTGATCAGGGAAGCACATCATTAGAAGCTCCTCTGTGTCCTCTCACCACCACCCAGGGAAGAGGGAAGCAGGGCTGTTGGAGGAACAGTCAGCAGGTGGCCAGGGCTGGGTCTCTGCCTCTCTGTGCAGGAGGGTTGCTCACCTTCACATTGGGAGTATAGAGATTCCTGAGAGAGGCCAGGGCAGCGGACAGCCCCTCGGTGCTGTAGCCGATCCACAGTGCTTGGAGATGGCTTGAAGAAATTCCCGTCTTCTTACTGAGGCCCTGGAAACAATCAGAGACAAATCTGCCTGAGCGTCTCCTTCCCACCTGCAGGGACACTCTGAAAGCGGGTCTGCCACAGAGGGTGCAGATACCAGCGGAAGGCATGAGGTCTCACACAAAGAACGCCTGGACATGCGAGCTTTCACTACCTGAAACCAAGGTCAAGGAATCAGCCTGCCTTCGCTAGGTTAACTGTGTGCCTGGGGAGAGAGATGGCAGATCAGAGTTTCTTTTTTGTCCTTGAGTCAGAGTCTCCCTGTGTCACCCAGGCTGGAGGGCAATGGTGCAATCTCGGCTCACTTCAACCTCCACCTCCCAGGCTCAAGTGATTCCTGTGCCTCAGCCTCTCAAGTAGCTGGGATTACAGATACATGCCACCACTCCCAGCTAATTTTTCTATTTTTAGTAGAGACAAGGTTTCACCATGTTGCCCAGGCTGGTCTTGAACTCCTAGCCTCAAGTGGTCCACATGCCTTGGCCTCCCAAAGTTCTAAGATTACAGGTGCGAACCACTGCACCCAGCCAGAGAGCTTCTCTTTATGGAAGTAAATTAGAGGAAGAATAAATGACAGAGTATCACCACTGCGCGTCACATGGTGGTGGGTGCCTGTAGTCCCAGTTACTTGAGAGAATGACGTGGGAGGATCCCTTGAGCCCAGTGAGCTGTTATCTATCGCACCACTGCTCTCCAGCCTAGGCAAGCAGAGCAAAACTTCAATTAAAAAAAAAAAAAAGTCCAGGCATGGTGGGTTACACCTGTGATCCCAGCACTTTGGGAGGCAAAGGCGGGCAGATTACCTCAGGTCAAGATTTCAAAACCAGCTAGGCCAATATGGTGAAACCCTGTCTCTACTAAAAATACAAAAATTTGCCAGTTCGCTCTGTTGCACACACCTGTAATCCCAGCTACTGGGGAGGCTGAGGCAGGAGAATTGCTTCCCTCTGGGAAGACGGAGGTTGCAGTGAACCGAGACTGTGTCACTGCACTCCAACCTGGCCAGCTCCATGTCAAAAAAAAAAAAAAAAAAAAAACCACATCACCAGATATAACACCAAATGAATGAGTCCAGGCAGTGACCAGCAACAACTGATGGCAACACAAAATGAGAAGCAAGCACAAATGCTGTGCCTCCTGATGTAAAAAACTTTTTTTTTTTTTTTTTTTGAGACGGAGTCTCGCTCTGTCACCAGGTTGGAGTGCAGTGGCATGATCTTGGCTCACTGCAACCTCCGCCTCCCAGGTTCAAGAGATTCTCCTGCCTCAGCCTCCCCAGTAGCTGGGATATAGGTATGCACCACGACACCCAGCTAATTTGTATATTTTTAGTAGAGATGGGGTTTCACCATGTTGGTCAGGATGGTCTTGATCTCTTAACCTCATGATTCACCCACCTAAGCCTCCAAAAGTGCTGGGATTACACGTGTGAGCCACTGTGTCTGGCCAAGAAACTCTCAGAACTGCAATCTTGACACCCTGAAAGGGGTAAAAAATGATTGAAGTGATTAACCCTCTGCATACAACTACTGAATCATAGAAAACCCAGGGAAAAGAGGAACGTGTTAAACTGCACCATGAAAAACAAGCGCACAGTCAGAAAGTCCACGTGGTACAAAATCACCCAGGGAACTCGGATTCTCAAACAAATCAGTAACAAGGAAACAAAAAGTAATCAACAAAGTAGAGCCTTTAAATAAAAAAGAAACTTAAAAGAGACTTAAAGGTAGGAAAAAGTAAAACTTAACCACAGCACTCAGAGACACACTTGAGCAATCAACTATAGCAAAATGCAAGGAAATGCCCAGGCTGAGTCAGAACAGCGGTTGCTTTTGGAGAGGGGAAGTGGGAAGAGGTTGCATTTGGGCTGAGGTGCGTAAAGTGTTTCTCGGATGACTGACAGAGCCATCTAAAATCCCCAAAGCAAAACCTCAAAATGACAACGAAGAAACCCTTCCCCAAGCTGGTGTGCATCTCACCTTGAAAATATGTGCCTTCAGGATGTGGTGGCCGAGCTCCATGGTCTGCTGGCGGTTCAACTTGCCCTCCTGACGCGAGAACATGAATGCCAGGAGAGCGTGCCCGTTCCTAGGGGAAGAAACACGAGGGCTCATAGCAGAAAAGCCTGTTCCACCCCACTGCAGACCCACTCTCAATCCACCACCTATCATTTAGTCATTGATTTATGCCTGTCACAAAGATGTAAACTCTGTGAGGCTAAGGGTCTCGTCTGAGTCACAACGCCTAGCAAAGTGTCCAGCACTTGTTGAACACTCAAATGTGTTTCTGGGATACACGGATGAATAGACACAGAGTACAGAACCATCTCTGGGCCTGGTCTTCAGGTTTCCTCAGGATCACCAACTGCAGGTAGACAAAGGACAAGGCCTCACACTAGGAAGGAGAGAAAAGCCAGGCCATGCTAGGTGGCAGCTCATGATCAGGAATGCTGAGAATTCTAGGCTTGGATGGCACACAAGTCCTTGTGGTGAGAAGAAGGCTAAGGCATATAAGTGGGCTTGCTGCAGCTGGCACATGGTAGACATCCAACCAACAGTGCCCATTTCCCTTTGTGAAGGTACCATTCTGCCCATTTTCCTGCCCATTTGCCCTCCATGTGTGTAGGGCTCATTTTATCCTCCTGTGGACCCCATGCCTTTGTCTAAGCCAACTAGTTTCTAAATGACACATAGAACTGCTTATTCCAATAGCAGTGACTTTTATCTAAGGTAAATTATTTTCATTTCTATCATCCTGACAACTTTGAGCTGCTGTTTCACTGGGGAGATGCAGGGAGGAAAAGATAGACATCATATACATGTTTTAAAAAATATCCTGGCAATTGCTAATCTAGATGATTAAAAGCATACATTATTTAAACTGCAATCATCTATCCAGATGCATGCCTGTTTCTCAAGTAGGTTGTAAACCATGCAGACAGGAGTAAATCAAGGCAGGTGGAGGCTAAGGAATCAGTTTTTATACTACAGAGGAGGACATGATGTTTAAGGCCACACGGCCCCGAGTCCTGTCCAGTGTCTTGTAATGGCCTGGAATTTTCCAATAAGCACATACCCTGTCACCACTGGACACCTTCCACATCCCCGATCTTGAGCCTAGGACACCCCTCCAGTGATAGCCTCTCATATTCCCTTGTCCCCATGGAAACCGCTGTCGGCGTCTCTCTAGTGCTCCAGGGCCCCCAAGGCCTCCCTAGGTCCTACCCAAGGGCTGATCCCAGGGTTCAATCTGGCCCAGATCTGTCAGTCAGAAGCACTCTCCCAACCACAGGCTAAGTCCTCCTAAGTCTCCCAGCTGGCTGAGCTCTGTGGCCAGGCCAAGTGTCCACCACAAAGACACACTAAGTATCATGGCTGGAGAGTGATGACCACATACCTCTTGGAAGTAAGGTTTCCAGTGCTCCTGGGTGAGCACAGGGCATCTCACCTCTGAGGAGACAACTCCCCACGCCACTGCTCCCCACTTACGCTCCTGCATACTCTGCTCGCCGTTCCTCCCTGCCTTCCTGTTTGTGAGAACAAGCACCCCCTTCTAAGATAATCTGCATTCATGATTCTGTTCATTTCCAGTTCTTTCAGGTATCAAGTTCTTACCCTATGCCAGATGCAGAAACTTAACTGAATTATCTTATTTACCTGCACAACCTAAGTATTATGATCCCCATATGCTTACATGAAGAAACAGAAGCCTGAACAGGTAAAGCGACTTGTCCAAAACCAAATGGCTAGTAGATGACAGAGCAGAGATTTGAACTGAAGTCTGCCAGACAGGAGAGCCTGTGATCTTAACCAGTGGAGCACGAGTCTTCCTTCATTCATTCACAGCTACACCTTAGCACTGGCACCATGTCTGATGGGGGATTCTGTGGGGGAACAATGCAAGGTGCTTCCCTTGAGAAGCTCTCAGCAAAGGGAGGGACATGTAAAGGAAAGGTAAGTCAGCTAACTGGGTGGTGTGAACAGATTCCACGGGAACAAAGAGAAGGCAACCTGCCCCTCACTCAGGCCCCATTCTTTCCTCCTCGCATTCCCAATTTCTTCTTTATGGATCTTTCTCCTCACTATCTCAGTGATGTTTCCGACAATATCCCAATCTGCTGTGTTACAAAGAAAAACCAAAAAACAAAAAAAAAAATCTGCTCGCCCCTTAAGGCCTTCCACTTCCCATCCCAGGACGCTGGCTCCCTCCTCCTTCACTCCTTTCAACCAAACAGACGGAGTCTCCTAAGGATCCAGGACCCTTCTCCCTTACTGAAAATCCAAAGATTTCCTGTTAATCCTCATTTCCCTTCACCTCTTGGCAACACTTTGGTCCATAAAGTCCCTCCCTCCCTGAAGCCCTCCTTCATACCCTGGAAGCCCAGTGCTATCTGTCCTCTAGTGACACAAGCTTCCTCACCAAGTCATGCCAGACACCTCTCCATCAGTGATGCCAGATCTTCAGCCGCCAGCTTCTCCTCCAGCCTGCCGACCTGGCCTGCCCCTGGAACCTGTCTGCCAGGGACAGATGGCTACCTCATAATCTCAACTGTTGAAAACTAAAACCGGCTCTGTCCCTGCAAAGCCTGCTGCACACCGTCTGCCTTCTTACCCTTCCCAAGAGCAATGCCGCACCTAGTTTCTGGCTCTTCCTCCTCTGCTCTGCCCATGAGGCCAAGTCACAACGGCCACCTCATGTCATCAAGGCCCGTCTCCGCCTCCAGTCCCACCAGGTCCCCACTCCTGACTGGTACAGTAGGCCCCACACTCTCTGTGCCCTGCATACTCTTTCTGTCTGCTCTTTCCTCTCCTCTGTTCCATGAAAAAAGGTCAAATCAAACTAGATTCGCTCATACAGAACGTGGCCTGCTCACGCTGATGTGACGTCTTCAACAGCTCCTCCTGTGGGCAACAGCCTTGTTCCACCTACCATCTTATTCACTCTTTGAGTTAACGGAGGACAGAGCTAACAGGGGACTGTTCTAGATGAGGCTGCCTGGGCAACCCCAAAAAGCTGATGGATCTAGGAAATGGTCATCAGAGACATGGTGATGTCATGCACCTCCTGAGAGAAGTACTCACCACCACCTACTGTCTTTGCAGAAAAACACAAAATCTGAACAAGCCTCTAAACTTAACTGCCAATTTATAGAAAATAGGGGTGAGAGGAACACATGAAAAAAACAACATGAGGACACAAAATTCAGACAATGGGAAACTATACACAACAAACTACCCAGTTACTCTTTTTAAACAAATAGACTGTGAGGAAAAAGAAAAAAAGAGGAGGAGAGAAATTATAGATTAAAAGAGACAATCAAATGTATTTTATGGACTTTTTGGGTCCCGATGTGAACATACTAAAAAAATAAAAAAATGTGAGCATGGTTAAATGTTTAAGGATATTAAGAATTTGCATTAATATTTTAGGAGCAGTAATAGCATGGTTAAGTATGAAAGTATCTCTGAGATGTATATTCAGCTATTTAAAGTAATATGTCATGTTCACAATTTAACACACTTCAATTTAAAAGGAAATAAATGTAGCAAATATTGCAAAATATGAATATGTTTAAGTCTAGGTGATATGAATGAAGACCTTTTTTTTTTTTCCTTTTTGGAGACAGAGTTTTGTTCTTGTTGCCCAGGCTGGAGTGCAATGGCACAATATCAGCTCATTGCAACTTCCACCTCTCAGCTTCAAGCAATTCATCTGCCTCAGCCTCCCAAGTAGCTGGGATTACAGGCACCTGCCACCAATCCCAGCTAATTTATTTTTATTTTTTATATTTAGTAGAGACAGGGTTTCACATTGGCCAAGCTGGTCTCAAACTCCTGACCTTACGTGATCCACCCACCTCTGCCTTCCAAAGTGCTAGGATTGCAGGTGTGAGCCACTGTGCTTGGCCAGATTCAAACTATTCTTTAACTTCATAATTCTATTTCTGGAATGCTAACCTAGGGAATAATCAAAATTAAGAGGGAAGAAAGGAAAGAAGGGAGGTGGTATATCCTTTTAAGATCTTAATAGCTACCAACACTCAGTGAAAAGACACTCATATTTTTTATAGGTAAGGAAGGCATGGAGGATTAAAATATATTTTGTGCAGAGAAAAATATACAAGAATCAATGGAAGATTTGAATCCAGATCTGTAAGGCACCAAGATACGCATGACAGGTTGTTCTGTTTGTAAGTAATCTAGAAACAACTCAAAAATCTAACAAGGGTATAGTGAAGTACATAATAACTTGCCTCCTAAGAGGTTTGCACAACCATGAAAAAATGAAAATGACACTTTTCTAAGACTTCTAAGAGCTTGGTAGAATGCCTGTGATGCATTAAGTAAAAACCCAGACAAGAATTCCAAAAGAAAAAGATGATTGGCATATTGTTTAAAATGCTACAGAAAGAGGTAAAAATAAAAAAATAAGAAGTGAATTGTCCTTGTCTGGGGGTTGAAATTTTCTCCCTTTATAATTAGGGCAAAAATACAACTGGGAGTGGGGGAAGAAATGCTACCATTTTTCAAGGCCCAACCCACCATCACCATGTTTTAAAATCACCTCCCCAGTCCTCTTCACTCACACTGGAAGCTTCTCCCTCTCCTAAGGTCCACGTGAAGTGTGCCTCCCTCTTGCATATCACTTCCTGCCTCCCCTGCCCTGTGGGGGAAGCCCTGAGAACAGGGACCTTGAGCCAGGAGTTTCTGTGTCTGCCACAGTACTTTGCACATAATTGCATTTAACAAAAACTATTGCCAACTAATCCAGTAGCTTCCTTTCAACATTGTTCTATATCCTCTCAGTTGAATGAAGCTCAAATACTACAGGGGTCTTGGGAAAATGCCAACAACTCACACCACCCCAAAGTGGGTACTTCCTTAAATTCTGCACCCAAGGGTGCCTCTCTTGCCTCCACCTAGTCCAGGTCCTGCCCCAGGGGATGCCCCCACACCTGCTTTTAAGAACACAGTGGCATGCAGGAGCCTGGCACCCACCCTACCTCTGACGTAGGCTATGTAACCTTAATGACCCCTAATACCCAAAATGAAGCAAAGCTTAATAAAGACTACAGTCCAGCTACTTCAGCCTCTAACCCAGTCACAAACCTACACTCCTGCTGGAGTCTTTCAATTTGTTTTCATGTCTCTACAAACTCAACTATAGCCAATCTTCCTAGAAAATGACTGGAATTTCCCTAGAAAGTAATCTGACTTGGCTAGAAATGTCACAGCACACATTTCACCTAGCTATTATGGTCTGGCTAAATAACCTGGATGTTAGTTTATTGCCCCAAACCAGGTTCAAAAGATAACAACAAACCTTCAGCCGGTGATACTTAAGAAAACAGTGATAGCCCCAACATGAAACAGCAGCCAGGCCTATCAGGGGATGTTCAGTCAATATTCAGAGGGAGGAAAGTGGCTGTGAGGCTCCCAGGGCTCACCAATGCTTGTTCGTCTCTTCATTTCTGGATCCCAGCATCTGGTCAAATGCCCATGACAGGCCTCAGGGGTCAGCTGAGCAGCTTGCCAGCCCTGTTACTAGAACAGGGGGCAATTCTGACTCACAGAGAGCAGAAGCCACAGAAGACAGTGGAGACGCAGGCCAAAGCGAAGGCCAAGTGAAGTCGGGGGTTTGACATACACTTATCTGAAAGCATCTGCACCCTCAAACTTCCTGACCTCTCACGCTGTTACCAGGCCACACAACAGACAGGCTTCCCTCCCCACCCACTGTGATAACAGTGGCCCAGGCAGCAAGGAGAACTCCATCCCAGCCTGGTCCCATCAGCCACATAGAGCTCATCAACAGAGGGTGAGGTGTGTGGAGGGGGGACGCTAGATTGGATCATGGTGCTCCCGCTGGGCTCAGAGAGACACCTGATACCTGGGACAAGTCACTAAATGTCAAGAGGTGGCAGGGGAGTGGAGGTGCTGAGGACCCACAGCAGTCCGCAGACACACAGGGAACACCCTCTCGAGATGTCACTGTTCCTGGGGGCTGATCTCACACGTACCCATGCATGACCCTGCAGAAGCTGGGTCGGGGAGGAGACGGAGCTCCATGAGAGAATGGAGAGCAAGGAAGGACCACAAAGGTACTGCCCAGCTTCTCTTTTATCCACATGTACCATCCATAAGGGAGTCCTAGAATGCCAGCAATTAGAAGCCGGCTTCTATATAGAGAATTCCCCATTGCCCATCCTTCTGCCAAAAAGGAAGAAAAATAAGAAAACAAAGCAGCAATACTGAATTAGTCGTTCTGGATTGCCCTTCCATTAAGACATGTGCATCACATTTAAATCCTTTCCCCAGCTGCACACGAGATTCCCTGCAAAGAGCTGACAGAAAGCACCTGCTGTACCTGGGCTCACATAGGAAGGCTGTGTTTTCCCCGTCTGCTCGCCAAACAAGCCACTCCCTGAAGGACGGGTGGCAGAACATGCGAGTTTTGTCTCGCCTCTTAATGAGGAAGCAGGAGAGGGCCTCCATCCTCTGCTGAAAGTCTTCCCATCCCTGCTCCCCCTGGATGTGGCCGGCATTAATAGCCTGAAAGATCTGCTCGTCTGTCATGGGGTGGAGGGATGCGAGGGCCACGTTGAGAATCGGAAGTGCCCTCTCAAAGGCAGACTGGGTGATGAACTTCATGTTGCACTGTAGCAAATAGAGCTCAGAGAGAGACACGGGCACCACCTTGTAGCTGGCGCTCTTAATGACCAAGTGGCCCCTCTGGAAGAGGTCCAGGGTGAGCTTGAGGTACAGGTAGGAGCCGAGGCTCCGCAGCACCAGGTGGCTGCTCACTTTTCCAATGAGTGTGGCATCGGCCTTGCCGTTCAGGGAGATGTTGCTGAGGATGTCCTGACTGCTGTGCATCCTGTGCTGGACGTAGGCGTGCAGGTCGCTGTGAATGTCTTTGTTGTCTGGGAAGTCATCTAAGGAAAGCTTGACAAATGGCAGCGCACTTATGATTTCCTGGGGGGAACAACCAAAAACCCACAGTGTCACACTCTACAGAAATTTCTTTTTTATTTTAGCAGCACTTTAAACCAGATTCACTAGTTTTCTTTCAAGGAGGATTTTCATGGATTACAGGGACTCATTGTTTTGTATTAAAATGTGTAATAGGATAGGGTGAAGATAAAAAGCTTATGTGAAAGAAATCCTGATGGGAGATAGAATCAGTAAATGCTCTCCTGAGACCCTCATCCAAGGACCCTGAGTCTAGTGAGTAGAGTCAGAGCCCTGCACAGACAGTGGCAACGAGGCCAGAGCCAGTAGGGGCAGTGAGACTCTGTGGGTGACTTGATACCCATAATCCTTACACTGTGCAATTGCTTATATAACAAGGACAAACACAAACTAACACGGCACATCTAAGAACATGGCCAGACGCCAAGATAAGAGGCATCCTTCTTTATGCATCAAACACTGGGGCTGTGTAACCCAACCAGGAAATCTGAGACTGCCGCTGGGCTGTGTCTCCATGACAGCATGTCTTAACAAAGCTGACTACTTTGATATAGCACGTTACTTTTTAAAATTGTTTTTAAGTAAACTTTTGAAGTCTAAAATACGAACATATAATTTGTGCCCAAATCACAATTGCACAGTGTCACTGATTTTCACTAAGTCAAATAAATACACCTGTGTAACCAGCACCCAGAAACAGATCATCCTCAGCTCCCAGAAGCCCGACGTGCCCTTCCCATCTCTTCCTCATTCCAAAGATTAGGCACAGGTGACATCTAGCAGCAAAGAGTTCTGCCTTTGTAAAAAAAATTTCCCACTATTTTTTCTTAAGTATTTAAATGGATGTGCAAATTTAATATAACAATGTAGATAAAGAGGGCAGAATACAATTATTCCCGTTTACATGGATGCTACTGAATCTCTGAAAACTTACACAGCTGGGAAGAGGAATGTAAGATTCCTGGTTCCCGTGCTCTACTCATTGCCAAAGTGTGCTTATTGTGTAAAAAATGACTGCAAAGTATACAAATTGAATGCCCAAAAAACAAGCATCAAGTTCAACTGAGGTCTAATTTCAGTTTTTATTATGAAAAAATTCCAAACCCTGTTTTAAAATAATTATAAGCAAAAATCAAAATCTAATGTCTAAAACTCTTTACTGAACAAGGGGGTATAGAAGGAGTCAATGGTTAAGATACAATTTTTAGGGTTCAAGTGAGGAAGAAGATGGAGGGTAAAAATCATCCTATCCCTCACTGCAAATGTTACCTCATATTTAAGTATTGTTAAAAAATAGATCTCTGAGAATAGGCCTTAACAATATTTCACCTTCTGCCGGGTGCAGCAGCTCACACCTGTGATCCCAGTACTTTGGGAGGCCAAAGTAGGTGGATCACCTGAGGTCAGGAATTGGAGACCAATCTGGCCAACATGGTGAAAACCCATCTCTACTAAAAATACAAAAATTAACTGGGCACGGTGGCACATGCCTGTAATCCCAGCCACTCAGGAGACTGAGGCAGGAGAACAGCTTGAACCTGGGAGGTGGAGGCAGAGGAGGCTGCAGTGAGCTAAGATCCCACCACTGCACTCCAGACTGGGCAACGGAGACTCTGACTTAAAAAAAAAAATTCACCTTCATTTTTTCCTTCAAAAAAACACAAAGCCCCACAGCAAACCCATATAAATAACTACTAGCAGGAGTAGCTTTAAACTCTGGCAGGCCTCTTGGACCCACACACTCCATGGCAGTAACCAGGGCTAGCTGCCACCATTTGAAAAGTGAACCTGCAATTTGATGTGGAAATGTACCTGATATCTTGATAAATATGTCTGGGGCTAAAAAGGTCAGCGTTTCATCCATGGGGGGCGGGGGTCTCTGGACTAATTTTTCAAATTCCTAACATAGCTTTCAATTCAAGCAGCTCAGTGGTTTACAATAGTTTTGTTATTAATATTTATCACTGTAAAACTGGAATACGGGGACTTGGAAAGAGATTTGAGAATTCTTTGTTACCTGAAAATTTGCTCTTACAGTCACAATCAACTTTAACCAGGCAGGAAATTTAGAAATAATTTTGGTAATAAATGAAGAAAGTGTATCTCCATAATCAGGTTTATGAAACTCAGCTTCATTTAAGCCATCTATCAAAATAATGTATTCTTCTTCAGGAATTTTCTGCTCTAAAGGAGAAAATAATTTTTTCAAATTAAGAAATTATACATTTCTATAAGACAGCACCACCCAGTGTATTTTAATGCCCAGTTTACAGTGGTAGAAGAAACTAAAAAGGTTTACATATGGCACAAGAAACAGTTTTCACAAAAGCATATTTTCTATTAAATTTATAATGAAAACTGGAGCTCAGAGCCAAAAGAAAACCAGTTCTCACAAAACAGAAACATATTGCATGACACACGTTAGCAGAATCTCACTCATGTATATAATACACTCAGCTCTTCATAAACCCTTGTCACTGGGGTGGGCCACACAAAGACAATAAACATATACAGAGGCCAAATCTGGAAAGATCACTAGGTTCCCCCTGAGAGTCCTCAGTGGTTTCCAGGAAAGGAAAACTGACCCCCTCGCTGCCCTCAACCCAGGGCAAACTGCCTGGCCCAAGCCACACAACCACAGTGTGAGAGCCCCACACTACTGACTCCTCCAACAGGCGTCTTCCACGCGAGCCTGAATCTGGTTTTCTATTTATTAGTGCTGATTTTCTGCCTGGGCAATAGAGAAGAAATGATGACATATCTGTTTTCTACCCCTCTCTCTAGCACCTTCCAGCAGAGGTGCCAGGTGGGCAGGTAAACAAACTCAAAAAGCGAGGAGTCGAGAAGAGAGAGGATGGGAAACTGAAGGGCCCATCAAGTCATTCATGTCCTCTACCTTGTTGGAAACAAAAAATTAAAATGGAAACCTTTAGAAGTCACTTTAACATTTCAATTCAACTGAGCAGAGGTCCTGACACACATATATGCTGGAAAATTCCCCCAAATAATTCACTTATTCCCTCAGATACCTAGGAGTGCAAAATATGCAACAGTCTTCTGTGGTACAAGTCATCTAAACAGCCCACAGTTACAAATTGACTACTTTGGAACTGCTCAGTCGTCACATTCATTCTTCATTTAACACTATACCATGAGGGTGGTATAGGAGAGACCTCATGGGGCTGGTTCTGGGAAAGAGGACTGGATGGGCACTGAGGCTTCCACCTCCTCTCCCTGCTCCACCTCACTTCTACCCCAGGGCCCAGCTGACCACCCGCCCTCTGGGGACTCCTTGATTATGCTGCACCACTACTAAGAGGGGGCTGTGGGTAACTGCTGTGAGGTACCATTTCTCAGGTTTGTCAGCGGCTCCAGCACTCCCCTCTTGAAAGCTGCCACCGGGTCCTGCACACAGGATCGGAGGCTCAGCATGCTCTGTAGCTGGGGCTCCTTTATCAGAAGGTCTCTGTAGGCGGCTAGCTGATGGGACCGGCAGAGCAAAGCTGCAATGCTGTGCACAAACTCCGGCACTAGGCAAGTGTACGTGTTGTCAGCCTGGCAGTAATGGTAGGCCACCACCTAGGGGGAAACAGAACTGTCAGCGTCACCTCACCCTCTTCACACAGCTTCTTCTGCGATCTCAAACAGGAACGCAACTCTGCCCGTTCGCAGAGATAACAAGATACTATAAGATACAGAGCGTCTATTCCCCAAGACTGAGTCATTTGTTAGCATAATTGTCCTATTTATTCCTTCCTTGGTGTGGCTTTCAGACCTTTAACTGCATCCACAAATCCATCTTGATTAGCATAAAAATCAGCACAAGTTACTTTGTATTCAACGTGTTTAAACAGCATTCATAAAATCTAACTACCTGGCTCAGAGCAGCTCCAAGCCATCCTAATATTCTCAACATCAAAAAGTGCCATCTTCACTAGGTTTCTGTTCTCAAGAGCAGCACCACCTCTTGAGGCTTCCACCTCCTCTCCCTGCTCCAAAAAAGGGAACCCTTTTGCTGATCCCAAAAGGCAGATGATAAAGCCGGTGACTGTGAGACTGTGGCTGTAGAATCCTTCCCAGGTCAGGGGGACTCAAGCCCTTGGCTCCTCCCCACACCCGCACTGCATCAAGGGACCCTGTGGAGAAGTTCAACAGGGTCAACGCTGTCTGAAGAATGAAACCCGAAATCACCAAATCTCTGCCCATCATGTGGAGAGACAAGTTGGAGGAGACAGGAAGCTGCCCAGGTTCTGAGAGGAAAAGGAACGGTCCCTGTCCCAAGGGACCTACAGCGGCAGCAGGCTGTTTGAGAGAGAGAGACCCCAGAAAAGGGCCAGACACAGAGCTGTTGGGGATGAGAGGCATGCTGTAGATATAAGAAAAATGCAACACTTTTCCAAAAGAAGATCAAAGGAGGAACACAAGTACAAGGTAAGGAAGGCAAAGAAGAGCAAAGCACTCGTGCCAAGAGCTGCATGTTTTTGGGAGTATCTGCCTTGCTGCTGTCCCACTGGGAACAGCAAGCCCCTGCAAGAAATAGGACAAGAACCACTAGCCACAGTTCATCACTGAGGGCACCAGACACTGATGTTAGATGCCTTGCCAACCTGACACAGTTAGTCAGTCAAGGACAGGGGATTAAATTCCAGGTCTGCAGACTCTTTAAAAAGCAAATGGCAAAGTAAATGTGCAACAGCCTTTCTCTGGCCAACCTGGAGTTGTCATGAGACTTTGGTTTAAATTTATCATCAATATACTCAGAAGAAAGTTGGCTGCTCTCCAACTCTCACCTGGACAGAAATCAGTAGGGAAACATGTGAGGATCCTGTAAGTCTATCTAAGCCATCATGAGGTGTCCAGTACCATGGTCTCACACGGCGTTTGACAAAAGCAGCTTGGCAACCCAATGATGGGTCATGAAATCAATTTATTTATTTATTTGTTTGAGATGAAGTCTTGCTCTGTTGCCCAGGCTAGAGTGCAGTTGCACAATCTTGGCTCACTGCGACCTCTGCTTCCCGGGTTCAAGTGATTCTCCTTCCTCAGCCTCCCGAGTAGCTGGGTAGCCACCACCATGTCTAGCTAAGTTTTGTATTTTTAGTAGAAATGAGATTTCAACATGTTGGCCAGGCTGGTCTTGAATTCCTGACCTCCAGTGATCTGTCTGCCTCGGCCTCCCAAAGTGCTGAGATTACAGGCATGAGCCACCATGCCTGGCCTTGAAATGTATTTAGAGCCACAGTTTTTTGTTTTAAATAAGCTTAGGATTACTAGAGTGTATTATAGGATATAAGAATAAGCATGGTTCTAAAATGTTTTTGCTTTAGTTATGTGGGTGATTATGTGTGAGTACTGGATCTGTAGTCTAAGATGTATTTCTTATGTGGGTCATAGTCAATGGGGTTTGAAAATCACTGTAAACAGGGATGGCTTTGAAGCCTGAACTACATCACTCTTCTCAAAGCACCCACTCATGACCAGAGGACTGTTCTGGACCAGTGGTTGGAAGCATCAGGGCTGATGGTGCCAAGAGTGGTCATCATCCAGGAAGCAGAAGAAGGAACAGGGATCTGGTGCACAGCAGGTCTTGGTTCAGCTTTCCTCACCAACCTCCCCACAGGGCCTCCTCACAAGGTGTCCCTATGGCTGCCCACTCAGGCAGCTCTCCAGCTTAACTCACTCATACCACTGCTGCCCCAGGTAAACCTAAGTAGCTCCACTAGGGGAAAAGGATGTAATGCCTTAATGTAGGAGTGTGGCTGGTGAACCAGTGATGGATGCTGAGCAGAAAGAAAACTTCACAAAGACCCTGATGGTCATGAATTTAGAAAGGAAAAGTCAGCCAAAGAAGGCTCTATCAAAATTTCACAAGAAACCTCGTTAGAAAGCCGAGGGAACCAAAGGCCTCAGGCAACAGAGTGTAGGGAAGAGGTCCGGGTCAAGTCAAAAGCTCCAAAGTCTCCTGCTCACATACCAAATTAAGAAGAGTATATACAGATAAGCATGGATTAGTGGCCAGTACACATGCTACCTTCTGCTGCCTTGAGGAACTCTTTCAATCCATTATTTAAGATGGATCAGGTTCACTGCCAATGACTTAAGACAGATATTTACTGTCATTCACACTTTTACTTGGAGAACTTCATCATTATTTCATCAAAAGCTATACTTTATCATTAAGCAGTTGTCTCTGTTTTAAGCTCCTTTTTCCAATTTACTTCTCAGAAACCAAACTAACAAATCTATCTGGAAGGCTCCCATAAAACAAGAGAGATTACCTTAGAAGCAAGATATTTCACTGCATCCTCTCTTGGTCTCTGGTTTTCAGCACTGCCAGACCTGAGAGGTATTTTAGCTGAGCTGGAAGCACTTGTGGAAGAACTCGGTGAAAGCAACGGGGTGAAAGGAAGATCCTGAGTGGGGTCAGAGGCTGCAGAGAAAGACCCATTTCATTATGTACACCAGTGTAGGAGCAAGGTGAGATACTGAATATATTTCTTGATTCGCCCCAGGGAACATTTTAATAGATAAGTAGTGAATATGGTCCAAATTTCAGAGGTCCACATGAGAACACAGGTTCACCATCTGTCACCCACCCAATCAGTTCCCCTCCCTGGAGAACTACCATCTGCTATTTCCGGTTTCCACCGTTAATTTTTTTTTTTTTTTTTTAGACAGGCTCTTTCTCTGTCATCCAGGCTACAGTGCAGTGGTGCAATCCCGGCTCACTGCAGCCTTGGTTTACTGGGCTCAGGTGATCCTCCTACCTCGGCCTCCTGAGTAGATGGAACAATAGGTGTGTGCCACCATGACTGGCTATTTTTTTGTAGAGATGAGGTCTCCCTATGTTGCCCATGCTGGTCTTGAGCTCCTGGGCTTAGATGATCTTCCCACCTCGGCATTCCAAAATGTTGGGATTACAGATGTGAGCCACTGCGCCTGACCTATTGAATTCTTTTGGGTCTTAAAGAATCTTGCATGGTTCACTTGTTCTTGTTCACCATGTTTAGAGTGGGCTTATTGCATATGAAATAAGGAGTAGATAGTCAAATGTTTGGCTACTCTAGCTCATGTCTTTATCATTTTGGTAAATCCAATACAGAATTGAGGCAGGAGAATCGCTTAAACCCGGGAGGCAGAGATTGCAGTGAGCCGTGATTGTGCCACTATGCTCCAGCCTGGGCAATAGAGCTGTGCCAAACAGGGTACAAAAGAACTCCACATTAGACTCCATCTGAGTTTGTTCTGCCAGGAGCCCAACTCCTTGTTCTTAGGGCCTCAAGTTCTACAGGGCACTTGATCAGGCCTCACTGGCCCATCTCTGCCTGCACCTCAAGGAAGAGAGGGGTTACAGTTCAGGAGGCCATCAGGGAACCCTGGCCTCGCCCCAGCTTGCAGCTGACTACATATCATGACAGAGGGATGTATTCAAATAGTTCACTTCACACACGATTGCAAACCTGATATAGTAGCTGCAACAACTTGAGGAAAATTGGTATTTTATGTCTACGCAAACAGCAATTTCCTCCATCCATCTTATGTTAATAAACTAGACAAGTAATTAAATACGCATGTACTTTTAGGTGATGAACCAGGGCTGTTGGAAGCAATCTGCCTCATGCGGCTTCCGTGGCAACTCAACGCCACCAACTTGGAAATGATCGCTGTCTTCCCAAATCCCACATTGCCAACCACCACCGCGCCTCTGTTTTCTGCCAGTTCTGTGTTCCTCAAGTTTTCTTCTATTTGGTGAAAGAGCCAATCCCTTCCCACAAACACAGAGTCTGTTGTTATGCTTGGTACTTCAAACAACAATGGTTTCAACAAAATGTCTTGTGGCTTGTAGGGAGCAAATCGTGCTTTAAAAAAGAAAACATTATTTTAGAAAAATGTCATAATTTTATAAACTAAGAAACTCAAATATTATTGCTTGTGTGCTATATTAAATCCTGACTTTTATCCCCACTACGATCTGTAAGCATTTCCAATCTGGCTCTACTAATACTTCTGTAATACCTCAATAATCACAGCCTACTGGACCTAGAGAGTGTCCTATTGAAATTACTTTCTAGCATGGTCACAGCTTTGAGTTATTCTCAGGACTCAAGGTAGACACACAGAGGATTATAGAAAGCCATGCACGAGGTCAAACCATGTCTCATTGCTTTATTTGGAACTGCATTTAAGATGTGTTTCTTCCCTGCTGTATGAATAAAATAAACATGTTTTCCCTAGAAACAGGGCTCTGCTCTCATCCAGGTGTGATGATACTTTGCCTGTATGGTCAGGCTGCTGTGTACCTCACACAACTATGTTACATGTAAACAGACAACACAGCCAATGCAGTTCAAGGAATTTTTTTTTTTTTAAGACAGTTTCATTCTTGTTGCTCAGGCTGGAGTACAATGGCATGATCTTGGCTCACTGTGACCTCCGCCTCCTGGGTTCAAACAATTCTCCTTTCTCAGCCTCCTGAGTGGCTGGGACTACAGGCCTGCACCACCATTCCCAGTTAATTTTTGTATTTTTAGTAGAGACAAGGTTTTACCATGTTGGCTAGGCTGGTCTTGAACTCCTGATCTCAGGTGATCCACCCACCTCACCCTCTCAAAGTGCCACCACCCATGGTCCAGTCCAAGGAACTGAAACAAAGTTTACACTTTGTTAGTAATTAAAAAAAAAAAAAAAAAACCACCTAGTAAGTGTTAAACTGCTCCTCACTTCAAAATAACTTACTGCAGAATTATTTTTCCAATTCCAGAAGCAAGTTAATCACATATTTTAAGGGAGAAGCCCCAAACTGTTTGAGGATACCCCTTAGCACAACTCACAGATACGTTTTTAGCACAAACACACTTATCATGTTATAAACACAGTTGGCTTCAATGCTGGTTATCGAAGACTTTCAAAGTTATTGAATGAGTTCATCATGACCATTATCACAGTGGATGCAAGGATAAATACCTTTAACTTCCTGTGCCCTACCTCCAGCTGTATTGTGCCATGGTAATCTAATTGATGTCCGCAGAGGAGCATTTCTCTGCCCGTCTAAATAACTCAGATCTTCCAATTTGGTTGAGCTTGTGGCTGTAATATTAAACTGAAGTTTAGTATCTTCAAAGCTGACTTTAATTTCATACCTAAGTGACTATAATTTACAAATCACTAAACAATTCAGTTCAGGTTTTCAACAAAATTTACTTAAATGTCATTTTGGCATTGTTTGTCCCAGTTTATTTTTCTGGCAATATTATTAATTTAAAGGTGGTAAAAACCAAGTGCTGATGCTTCTTAAAGTTATGCTGACTGGGTTTCCAGAATTCTCCATTATTTCTGGAAAGAGACAGAATTCACCATAAATTGTTTGATGAGGAAATCTGACAATCATGTGGCACACAGCAAAGCTTCAGTACTTACCACAAGCAGGTGGCACGCTGCTAGATTCTTCTCTGCAGCACTGGGGAGCTTTCCACTGTTTGGAATTCCAAACTTACTAATTAAATGGGCAGATTCTATGTGTACAATTCCACAGCACCCAGAACACTAAAAGTTAACTCTCAGTAGTAACAGTGCAATCATACCCCTAAGTTTCAAACATATGCATAGAGTATATATAAACATTATATATCAGACTGCATTTTATAGGTATATTTTTTTAATTCTAAAAATGTTATGTTTACCTCTGACCAAATCAGTAAGATGCATATCACATAGGTACTTGTTATAAAGCATTAAAGAGCTGGGGACAGTGGCTCATGCCTATAATCCCAGCACTTTGGGAGGCTGGGCAGGTGGATCGCTTGAAGTCAGGAGTTCAAGACCAGCCTGGCCAACATGGTGAAACCCTGTCTCTACTAAAATACAAAAAAAATGAGCTGGGCATGGTGGCAGGTGTTTGTAATCCCAGCTACTGGGAGGCTGAGGCAGGAGAATTGCTGAAACCCAGGAGGTGGAGGTTGCAGTGAGCTGGGATCAATCTCCTTTACTCCAGCCTGGGTGATAGAGCAAGGCTCTGCCTCAAAAAAAAAAAAAAAAAAAAAAAAAAAAAAAAAAAAAAAAAAAAAAAAAAAAAAAAAAAAAAAAAAAAAAAAAAAAAAAAAAAAAAAAAAAAGCATTAAATATCTATTCAAACATTGATACAAGTTAGATTAGATTACAAAAATAACTAGAGCAAGATAATTTTGCTAATTCTCAAGAAATCTTAGAAGCCAGTATATAGTAGACATTTTTGCCTTTTAAAAACCCCTCCATCGAGTAATACCAAAAGGCAGTCGCAGGTAAACAAACAAACAAAAAACCCTCCTATTACATTGAGAAAAATCTAAATAAAATTAACCTAATTTGTTGTATAGATTAAGCCCAACATGAAGTACTGTTGATCTTAGTCAAATTATTATCTTCCAGGACTAGAAATTATATCGTGATTTGAGAGCAATTGAGAGTCTAGAGGGAGTCAGTGTCTAGGTCAAGGCTTTTTAGGAGTGGGGATATCTTCAGTGGGACCAAGCTGCAGAGAACAGAAGTTGAGTTGGGCCATTTGTCTGCTGAAAGCCCTCTGGCTGCCCAACAGGTTCTAACCCAACATCCAGCTGCCAACCAGTGCCATCCATCCTACCTGATCCCTTCCTATCTCTGCCCTCTAAGATTTCAGTCCTCCTCTTCCTCACTGTCTGTATCCCCTGCTCTCATTCCTTCATTGAACAACCACCTGGGTGGCTCTAGGCCTAACTGTGCTGGCACATCCTCTCTCACTGCATCCTCCAAAGGGCAATCTAACACATGCCCTGCCGACTCATCTTCCCAGCAAGCAAGAAACAACTGCAACCTTGACTTCACAACAGCATGCACCTATGCCCCTGCATCCTTCTGGTGCATATCCACAGTGTATACAAGTTTACGCAAATATTCTATGCACATCGCCAGCTACCATGCAAATCTTTCCCATGAGAAAGACTCTGCTAATTCCTTGTCAGAGCTTTTAAATGGATTGCATGTATGGTAATCCAAGAGCAGCCTCTAGCTTCTCTCTAGGGCCTTCATAAGTAGGGTGTATAAAACCTCCTGGAGAGCCAACAGGACTACATTGTCTTCCCTCAGCCCTCTTAGCTCCCTACAGTAACACAGCTTGGAACATTTTCTAGGCTCCTGCCTGAGCCCTGGGACCCTTCTCCTCACACATCTCATGGTGAATGCACCCACCAAGGCACAGGTAGAAGGGGCAGGCAGCCACACTCATAACCTGTAACTCATTTCAGAGGCAGAATAGTCATGAACATCTGACATAATGCTGCAGCTCTAGAGAATACAAAGATGCTTTAGAGCCTCAAAAGCACTGAGGCTTATTTCCCTTCTTCCCCTGACTCCTCAGAACACAACATTGAGCTTATAATTTTATGACAACTGAAAGGATTAAAAATATGTGACCATAAAGGGCATTACAAATAACAGATTGAAGAAATGCCCTAGAATGTAGCTAAACAGATGCAGAAGATGGTAAGATTTCACAAGCCTGTTTTCAGATTCCGAGTCACTAAAGCTTCAGCACCAAAATCTGTAACAGAGCAGCCTCAGCACTTCCACAGCTCTTGGCTGATTCTCAATTTCAAATATGATTAAGCTGAGCTGAAAGGTGCAGCGGGACCATAAGCCACTACCTGCCAGCCATCTCAGCTTTCTAAGGCATTTTTGAAGCCACCAATAGAGGTGCCAGCAAATAGGGCAGGGAAACTTCAATGGCTTAGCTATGTGCCCAGGTGTTACCCACCCTCTGAGCAGGTAACTTGGGCCACTCTGCCCTCTCAGGCATGTCTACAGTAGATTCTCAGACGTTACCTGTGCAAAAGTCAGACTCACATTCCGTATTTACCCAAAACACTTTCAAAATCCTAAACACTACTTGAGGCCAAAAAAATCCCCCAAAGGTAAAGCAATAATTTCATGCTACATTGCTAGAATCTCTACAGTGAAATTATACACTTATCGTGCATGTGTGTGTGCGCGTGCGCGCATGCACGCACACACACACACACAACATCTGGATGAGAAGCACATTTCAAGATGCGGGGAGAAGAGTTTGTTTTTTGATGGGGGTGGGCTTGGTGGAGCAAGGCAGAGGGAGACATCTCTAAGCTGGACAAAGAGGAACATTTGCCAAAGTTGTGGACTAACCTATGGAAAGTACATGCCAGTAAGTCCAGGGCAATGACCAGTTTTAGGAAAACTGGATTGCAATTGTGCTTGTTGGTTTCCTGGAAAATTAAACACAGCGTTCTGTAATCCACTCAGAAAGTACTTTGAAAGGAAAAAAAAATAGTAAAAAAATAGTAGAACCCATTACCTGACTTCTATGTGATTTAAAACATACTTTTAAAGCCTTCCCAGTCTGTTTTTAATAAAGAAAAGAAATGTCCATGTCATGCATTTTGATGTGATATATAGTTGTCCACATCAATCCTACTCTAACAAATATCTTTACAAAGAAAATCTGTATTGTGAAACAATCTCAAAACCTAGCCAACTTATTTTTATAATATTTGACAAAAAATAAAAATTAACCATGTCACTACTACATGGTTAACAGACAATTCCAGTTCTCTGTAGCAAGCTCAGTAAAGGACCTTAGGAAGTTCTGCACCCCACCCCCTAGGGGCCAGTCCCATGGGGAGGCTGTGAACAGAGGCCTGGCATCAGTCTTCCTTTACCTGCCAACCCTCAGGCACCAAAACACCTTTCCCACCAAAAGGCAATTCGTTTACCTGTATTGTAACATGCAAATACTTCTAAGATATTTCTGTATATATTCTGATTCTTCTAACACTGAGTGTTCTCTGCTGACCTGTTTGCAGCAGCCTGCCTTCTAATCGCTAAAGAGTGCTGCACAGAATCTATACAACCTGAACCTTAACTCTTCAATGGTACTTGAAAAATCTTGCCATTTCCTCTTAACTGAGGTTCAACTTTAGGGGCAGGAAGGGAGGCAATGAAGAATCTACCAGACTCCTAGCTTGTTAACAGATACCATGAAATAGGCCTTTGCTCACTTCCTTTCAAAATATTCATTTAGTTTCAAAAATATGCAGCACAGAAGAAACGAGCAAACCCATTAGGCCAGGTAGACTTTGCTCAAATCTAGAGGTAAAACCCTCGCATTCCACAGGAGGTCTAGCTCAAGGGCACACACACAGAAGCTAATGAATGCGCACAGCAGAAATCAGAAAGCTCCGCTCTATAATCACGGCAGTCTCCTGGAAAAGCTCAGCTCACACCCACTGTCACTTCACATGGCAGGAGACCCATAAAAGAACATCAAGCAGAAAACAACCCCAAATGGGATGCTTTTAACACTGTTAAAATTAACACAGTAATGTTTCTTAATTTTATAATAGCTTGACTAAATTGAGCGCAAGTTCGCTATTTTTGTTGAAGTCAATAAAGTGATGAAGTTCTGGGGATAATACAAATGACCCATTCATCATAAATAGCTAAATTCTGTCTAAAGCGCCCTGAGTGCCACACACTGTGTTAAAGTGGTGGGACAGTGGTGAGAGGACAGGAAAGCTGTGGAAGGACCATCAGTCAACTTGTATAATGTTCTCTAGTATTTCTCTCTGGCAAACATGCCAAATCCCTCTTCTGGAACAAGACCATTTCACTTCCTTTGAAAGTGAATTAGAGTTGTGCCTCAGAACTTTTCCATTAGAGCCAATTATTTATCAGCTACTTCTGAGTTCCAGTATAAAAAACACCCCACAACCATCAGAGTGACCCACCGCATCCTGAAAGCAGAGTATAAATCACAGAGAAATCCTCTGATGCAGGAAAGGAGAATCTGGGTCCCTGCATTAGAAGAGAAATGTTAAGTGCTACATTGATAACAAAGAATGACTGTATCAAGTTCCACTTCTAAATTCAGTGCAGGGGCATGGAGTTAGAAACTGGAAACCTTAAAAACAGGCACCACAGCTCAGATGCAGAGAGCTCCTTTCCCCACCCATCTGGAGCTATAGTCATCCTTCACTAAGCACTGGAGATCAGTTCCAGGACCCCTTGAGGATACTGAAATCCTCAGATGCTCAAGTTCCTTATATAAAATGGTGTAATATTTGCACATAACCTACAAACATCCTCCTATATCCTTTAAATCATCTTTAGATTATTTGTAATACCTTGTATTAGGTATCATACATCATTGTATTATGTAAATAATTGTAAGACTATATTTTCAAATTCTTATTTTATCAATTTTTTCCCTGGGTATTTCTGCTCCGTGGCTGGATGAATCCGCAGATGTGGAAAGGCAGATACAGGGGACGGACTGTACTCTCCTTGCCTGACACACATCCACCAACCAGTTCGACTACTGACAGTCGCCAGCCTTTGTGCTCTCTTCTTTGTTCCAGCTGCTGCATCGTGGAAAAGCATGTCTGTCTCAAATATTTTCATTTCCTTGATTGAGAGCTCTTTCTTCCACTGCTTACATTTTAAGTTCTGAGCTCCATTTTAACTAAATTATACAGAAATTTGGCCCTCTTGCCTGTACAATGGGCCTCCACTACACAAAAATAAGTTTGTAATGGTAAGAAGTTCCTTGACTGATATTAACAAACTCACTCAACAATTCCCATTTACCAGGATGTAATAAACAGTCATGAATTTTCTAAAGGTTAAAATAACACAAACCAAGAGGAGAGTTTTTATACTTTCTTCTTTTATAAAAGAGCCTGATAGTCCAAACCATTGACTTAAAAGAATTCCAGAGCAGAAGGACCACTTAAAGAGCATTAAGTCCAGCCTTCTTGTGTTTACAGATTAGCAAACTGAGGCTTAGCAAAGGCAAGTGCCTGACGTGGGGCCACGAAGCCAGCTTGTGTTTGGAATGTCTTCCCATGTGAAGACAGTGAACACAGGGCACCTCAGTCTCCCCGAGATAATACTTCCAGGGAGAGGTGTGGCCTTACCTGCAACTGAGTTGGGCCGTGGCATTATTAGTGAGCTGGAGCCCTGAGAGTAAGGGACCGGACCATCTCCAGCTGAGGATTCTGCTTTGGGCAGCGTGCTCTCTGCTGAGCCGGTGGTCTCCTCTTCTGCCACTGGGGAGCAGTTATCTGCCCTGCGGTCATGAAGCACACCTTTCTGAACCCCTAATCTTAGGCTTCCGTCTTTATTCCATTCCAAACTGGAGCCACTCCGGTCATCATTTTCGGATGAACTTGTAATCGTGGCTGAAATGAGAGACCAAAATACTTTGAGGGAGGCCAGGCACAGCTAGGGCTGAAGAGTTAAAACATGCCCACTGCCCTCCCTAGGATCAATGGAAAGTTTTCCGGTCCACACAGATTTTTATCAAAGTATGTTCCATACAATGTATTTTGGTAAATTAGAAGAATGTGGCTTACCAGGGGAAATAAGCTGCTAAATCACTCTACAGAGAAGAGGAGAGAGGGAGAAACTCTGACAGGAAGATAATGAAAAAAACTGTCTAAAATGTGTCAGAGTTAAATCTATGTAACCTGGAAATAACAGTATCCTCTCTTTTTAACAAAGATTACTCACAAAAGAATTCATGTCTCATTAAATTCCTTTGAACCTTTAAATATACTTTCCCTCATTGTTGGGGATGAGGGAGCGGGAATGAAAAACAGAATGGTTAATGCAGAGACATACAGGAGAAAATCTTTAGAAACAAAAACACAATTATAAAGTCAAGCAGACAATCTGACCCTTAGACTTAAAGTTTATAATATCTGTTCAAGATGATCCAGAGAGACTGACTTACTATTCCTTCAGCAGCACGAAATGAAAAACCTTCCTGTATCCAGCGCAGGTGAAGCACTAGCATGGGAAGGTATACTATCACTGCAGAATTCGCATTTAATCTCCAAGAAAAAAAAAAAAAAAACAGCAGAGAAAAAAGATAGGAAAAAACCTTTTGTAAACATCTCAGCAAAAGAGCAGAAAAAACATGGTCAAACAGAGAAGCAATACTAACCCTACATAGCTTCTACAAAGAGCCACTTCTAATTTAAAGATGCTGAGCCATACAGGATCCCCTTGCAACCACAGGTCATTACCTGGGCCACTCACAGCGCCCCACTGTTAGAACTAATTCTGGCTGCATCCTTGAGAACAGGGGCCACATCCACCGATGTCTCTTTCCCTACCTGTATTCCAGTCGCCTAGGCCCTCAACTGCAAGCCTGTTAAATGGGAGTGTGCAGGGCCAAAGTGCATTCAGAACCCAGCTCCTGGCTCAGGCCTCTTTAGCCACATACCAAGATGATACACACTTTTATCAGAAAGCTGGTGAATTAGCTCAGGGTCAGTTATTTAGGATCAAAGAGTCTGAAGGGGTTTAGCTTTGCTTATATTCTTTACGGTTTAGAAGACAAAACTATTTCCTTGCTGTGGCCACAGGACATCCTGTCACAATTCTAAGACTGTCTTTACTGCTCCTGCTGCTGCGGCATGGACTCAGCACCCTCTCTGGCTGCGTCCCTATTTTTAAAAAATCCCACATAAGTGCCGAAGCCTTCCCTAGAGTATCCATGGCAATCTTTTCCTTTTCTGAACAGCATAGCACATGGTAAGTGCTCAATAAATGCTTGCTAATTGAATGAATGAGTAAATGAATAAACTTCAATTCCATTTGTGGTCAGAGACACCACACTTGATCTCACTTATCAGTACAGGATCTGATTTTGGGTGCCCATCGTTATGACTCCCAGCATTTGCCAGTGTTCCATAGCAGTATTCAACCACACCCCCATCTTCTTTGGAATCAATCACAGGCTTCCGTGTGTTTTTAAATGGACCATTTATATGAACGTAGGCACAGCAAATATGACTCTTTCTATCATAAAAATGCCAGTAGTGGTGTTGACAGCAGAAGCTAGCATTTACTGAAGGTTTACTATACACTAGGAAGTGTGCTAATGTTTTTCAGGAATGGTCTAATTTATTGGTAAGTCTATTGCTTATTAATAGTAACCCTGTTAATAAGCTGAAAGTATAAAAATGCAGGCAGTCCCGTAACACAGACTGCGGTGTTACAAACCTTCACATTTAAATCCAGTGTTTACAACTCAAAATGCTTTTCTAAGACATATTGGAATAAGTTAGGTTTCCAGGCTACTCCAACATCCAAGTGACAAGAAGAGCTCCAGACTAGGAAGATAGGGGATATGTTTGGTTTTATTATTGTGGCTGTTACATTTGAGAGCACACATTTGTAAGTTGAACAAGCAAACCAAAAGTCAAAGTGCTCTCCCTAAGTGTCAAGCACGTCTGAATCAAACCCCAAAGATCTGAGTCCTAACTAGGACCTCAAGTAGTGGGAACAGGGACTTAGCTCACTTCCTGTTACAGGTGACAGCATTGCCATCAGGACCTCAGGGACCCACGGCTCCACTGAGGATGGCTGGGAAGGCCAGGTCAGAGCTCCTGATGGCAGGACAGGCAGAAGGTGCAGCTCTCACTGGCAGGCATGTGCCCCACACGGTGTCCAGCGTCTGACAGGGGAAACACTCAGGTCCTGGCAGGGAGAGGAAGGATAAGGGGTGGGGGAGGAAGGGCCTAGCTGCAGGAGCAGTCACTGGGAAGAGAAGTCCCAGATGGGGTAACCATTTGGAAATGAATGTATTGTAAAGTCAGTGTTTATAAGAAGGAGACTAGTGAGAAAGAAGAGGCAGCCCTTCTGCTGCCCTCACAAGTTCCTGTAAGAGAGGCATTCCAGGTTCACATGTCCCACAGTTCTCAGAGGCAGGGAGGCTGGGAAATCTGAAGCCACTCCATGAACACTCCTTCCTGGGATTCAATACCAGATGTAGCCTACACAGCTGGAAGCCCAGACACTCTCATCTTGGCTCAGCTCTGCCTGAGCATTGAAGCAGATCCAGCCAAGCAGATAAAGGCCAAATCAGTCTGGCTTCCCTGCACAACCTAAGTGCCACACCAAACATGGCAACCCCGGAGAACTCAAGAAAGAGAAAGCTGGTTCTTCCAATAAATGACAGACTGCTCAAAAACATCTTTCTTCCCTGATTATAGAAATATAAACTCCTAATGAGGTTAACCCAGTCCGTCGCTCTCAAAAATGCGCATGCGAACACACACACAACCAGGGTAAAATATTAACTGTGATGACTTTTTAAAAAAATCTCTAAAAAGCACTATTTGACATTTCCCAGAGGCTAGCTAATCTTTATAGTTGCTTAACAGTTTAAAAATTCTAGCATTTTGTTCTTTGGACTAGTATAGATAGCAGCTTTTGTCAACTACAGCTTGCTATTATCACCCACATTGGGTCTCAGTGCCCTTGCAACATGGAGCATTCTGAAAATGAGCGACTTATCAGGCCTCAAGTTTTATAAAGCTGTCAGGTTAGGCTGCACCTCACAATTTAGTATTAAATTAGGTTTGTACTGCTTATTGATTCACATGCATTACATCTAATTCTCCATGTAGTTTGAAAATTCCTTTTAGTCCCAAGGACAGTGTCTTATCTTCCTTTGTACTAGTGTACAGGGGTAGAATACTTCCAAAACACTTTTTCTGTGTAATATGGGATTTCACTATGCTGCCCAGGCTGGTCTTGAACTCCTGGCCCCAATTAGTCCTCCTTCATTAGCCTCCCAGGTAGCTGGGGCCACACGCTTAGGAATGTTCAAGAATGCTTTCTTCCCCACACAACTGAAGAAAAACAAGGTAGCACTTAAAAAGCAAACATTTCTTAACTTCTTTTTTTTTTTTTTTTTTTTTTTGGGACGGAGTTTTGCTCTTGTTACCCAGGCTGGAATGCAATGGCGCGATCTCGACTCACTGCAACCTCCGCCTCCTGGGTTCAGGCAATTCTCCTGCCTCAGCCTCCTGAGTAGCTGGGATTACAGGCACGCGCCACCATGCCCAGCTAATTTTTTGTATTTTTAGTAGAGACGGGGTTTCACCGTGTTGACCAGGATGATCTCGATCTCTTGACCTCGTGATCCACCCGCCTCAGCCTCCCAGGTAGCTGGGACTACAGGCACCACGCCCGGCTAATTTTTTATATTTTTTGTAGAGACGGGGTTTCACCATGTTGCCCACTGAAGTCAAGTGATCCACCTGCCTTGGCCTCCTCAAGTGCTGGGATCCAACTTTTCTTTACCCCTTGCCTTCTGAAGGTTCTATGTTGAATGGATACTTAAAATAGAATCAGCAAAAGAAAAATAACATCAGTGTAGGTCCAGGACCCTGTAGGTAGTCTGGTGGGATCCAAATCAAGTCACAGGCTTAAAAGAATACCAAGAAGAAAGCTAACTTGACTACAGCATTAGCCCAGAATTGTTTAGGAGCTAAGGGCCAGCGATGCCTAACACATGCCACAAACAACTCATCAGGCCCTTCTCTTTGAGCCACGGAGAAGACAAGAGGTGAAAAGAGCAAGGCGCTTGCTGCAACCCTGGCTCCTCCCCCTTAGGGAGTCCACAAGGCGGTATGCTTCTCCAGACCCAGGACCATTTTGGGCACTGGACATTTTAGTCTTTATAGACACCACCCTCCATATTTGTTTTCTGTCTCTTCACTGGCTACCAGGAAACTTAGCAGTACAGCTTTTGCCCACTTATAAGAACAATGAATACAGTCTTATGAACATGACTCCTGAATGCATCTTTTCTCTTGCCCTTCCTATTTCATACATTACCCAACTCATACCTTCATGGAAAAAGAAAAATCTTGGTTTATTACATGTCTGTTTTGGGCATTTCAAATTCACTGGTGAGGAATTAAGTAATGATCCTTAGGAAATCACAATAGTGACTAAGATGAATGTTGGAATACTGCTTACTATATACCAGGCATCATTCTAAGTTCCTATCATACTTCAACTGACTCTCATTAATAGCCCTATAGACAGGAAAGCCCCAGAATGTCCTAAGTCCCATGTATCCCAGAATAGTGCTCCACACTTTTTTTTTTTGGGGGGGGGGTTGGTTTCAAGACAGGGTTTCGCTGTGTCGCCCAGGCTAGAGTACAGTAGTGTAATCACGGTTCACTGCAGCCTCAATCTCACAGGCTCAAATGATCTTCCCACCTCAGCCTCCCGAGTAGCTGGGACCACAGACATGCACTACCACCCACCATGGCTAATTTTTATGTTTTTACTTTATTTGTAGAAACAAAATCTCCCTGTGCTGCCCAGGCTGGTTTTGTACTCCTGGGCTCAAGCGATCCTCCCACCTCAGCCT